GAACCTTGAATCTCCCGAATCATGCAGACCTTTGTCATTGAACCAAAATGGTTTCGCGATGATTCTGCGCGGTGCTTTTCTAGACCGTTTCAACCGTTTGCGTGCGCGATGCAACTGAGAGCAGCTGATATCGCATGTCGTTGGAATAGAGAGAGGTATTTGGAATTGTGCATTCGCAGTGCTCACTTGCACAAGTCGTCGGTACGTAGTTCGAAGTCGAGTTGCAACTACAAAAATATACCATCGATCTCCGGTTCCTGGGATCAGTTCGAGTCTATACATCCACGATTCCATTTGGGCTCCCGTCGTTTCGGCGATGCTTGCCATTTTGCGGTGAGGGAAGTTTGACATGAGTTTTTGCATAGAGGATAGAAGACTATCAGCAGAATAAAATAAGAAAGGCTTATATCTTCCGAGCCTTTGTTTTCAAGAAGCGAAGATAAAGACAAGACACAAATTCGCGTCCACAGCTCGGCAAAGGATCAAAATTGCGCCAGTCTCGTATTGCTACTGCCCAGCGTATCGGGAAACCCAGATTCCCCTGCCTCGATGACGACCAGACCCAGGGTTCAGCAAGAAAAAAAAAATATGGAATAACATCCATCAATACTACCACCCACCCACGCCTTCACCCAAAGTCAGCCACTTAGGTCCAGAAGGGCAAAATTGCTAAAAACCCTCCTCGTTGATATTTCCTCGTTGGCGTTACTTTCCATCCACTTGTCATTCGGGGTAGTCAGGGTAGCCATCTGCAGACTTACCACCGCGGTCCGTCGGCACCGCGGAATCGTAGGAGTCTAAGACGGAGTACAATGGTAAGTAGGCTTCTCCGTTTGCTGCCTGCGGCACTTATAGTCGTACAGAGAGTCGGTGACATAGTCTTTTTTATTCATTTTATGCACAGCGGCAATCTTCTCTGGATCGGGAGGCAGGGTCGTGCGTGGTTCTTCGGATGCTTGGCTGGGTGAGGAATCAGTCGGGTGGGGGCCCGCCGTGTCTTGGGTACCGTGGGCAGTCTGCTCCGGCAACGTAGCCGAAGACTCGCTTGGCGAGTCGGATACTCGGGATGCTTCTGCTTCACGCGGTGCATGTGGCATGGGGTGCTTGTCGAACGTCCAGAAAATACTGGTGGGAGCGGGCCGCTTACGACGGAATTCGGGTGAGGAATCTATCGGGTGATCCCCATCGGCGTTCTCGATCGGTAACGTAAGTGAAGGGTCGCTCGGCCCTTCGGCTCCTTCACGGCGCTCAGTCAGCACATGGGGCTTACTGTGGCCGTGGCCATGGCCATGGACGTGACCAGTGGGCAAAGGCCCGCTTCTGGTCTTACGTGTGTAATGGAATCCGTGCGAGGAATGCGTCGGACGGGGCCTCCCGGTGCCTTGGATACGGTGATGTCGAAGGGCAGTCTCCGCCGGCAACGTAGGCGAGGGCTCGCTTGGCGATTCGGAAACTGCGCGGGGTCTAACCGGCTGGCTTGTGGCGAGAGCATTGTTGGTTTGCGGAGTGGATGTCGATGAGGTGACAGGAATGTCGATAACCTCCAGAACTCCTGATTTGAATGTCCATGATGATGACGATGTCGTCGTCACGGGAATGTCGATAACCTCCAGAACTCCTGATTTGAATGTCCATGATGACGACGATGTCGTCGTCGTCACGGGGACGTCGATGACGTCTAGAATCCCCGTGGTCTTTTTGGTGCACCCCAGAGCACGCTTATCGCGAACCCCGGGACGAGGAGCGGGGCCATTGCGCTGTTTGGGGCTCACGGCATTGTAGATGTTCCTGGCATCGTGGTGGTCGTGTGGCAAGGCGAGACCCTGCTCGACGAGCCCCACGACGCAGGCGAATCCTACTGCAGAGAGGGCTCGAACCATGGCATTGATTAGGCTGGTGCCGAGATGGATATATTAACGGCAAATGCGACGTAGCCGATTCAGACGATATGATCTTGGATTTTTCCTTACGATCTGTTGGCTACGTTGGTTGATGAGATGTTGAGTGTAAGTAGGGTTTTATCGAGGATGTTTGCCCAATATATATATTCTTCTGTTGATGGTATGGATCGCTTTCATATGGTCCTGTATCGCTCTGTCGGTCGTCTTTGTCTGCGAATCTGCCGAGAGGAGATCGCCCGTGTAGACCTATCAAAGAGGAAAAGTATTTCGTCGATTCTCTATACAATGAAGGCCCATTCCCGACCTTTCCCAAATGCCTTTACCATTTGAAAGGCTGCCATCAAGGCGTTGTTTGGGGTACTACAAGGCGAGGAACGCCTGTCACACACTGAAAGCAGCTTTGGGACGCATCGATTGATATCGAGGCTACTGGACAGGGTTCGTCTTTCCCCCAAGGGCGGTGACAACTCCGCCTGTGAAACCGCGCTTTCACTTATGGAATGGCGACTGAAGTGCAGGGGCATAGACACAATGACGTTCCTGTTTCATATGTTTCCGCTCTTTGATCCTTCGTCGCAGCGCCATTCCTGCTAGCAATCATTCGCTTGGTCTGGCTCACCGAGGCTAGAATCTATACAAAGAAGTCTGGACGTTCGAAAAAGTAGTAAGGGCCTACACAGAACCTTTGACGGGGACCTGGAGCTCGGAAAATATTTTAGGACCTATCACACCAGTGGAGGTTGTCTCTATCAAGCAACTCTTTAAAGTCCTAGATCATAATGAAAGCGTCTACACAAGTAGCAGTCATAGAAAGATAAACTTCTACAACAAAAAGAAATAAAATAAAGTAAAATAAAAATGAAACAAGCACAAAAAAAAAAATATATATATATATATATCGGGACCTGCCGTTGCCAGCTTACCTTGAAAAACCTATTACACCTCGGTCCAACCTGGGGTCGAACCAAGAACACCTCGAGCGCTTTCAACCAGCAGCCAAGAGGGGACGGATTTAACTAGCAGCTTAGCTGGCTGGTCCCTTAATGGCACTGCCAATTATTTGCCGCTATATGGTTTACTCAGTGTAGTTGTTGGGCCAGGTGGTTCCTTCCTCGAGAGATCAGCCTTCCGTTGCTCCTTCCTCTGCTGCGTGGCGCTTTGAACTCAGCAGATTTAACAACTTGAAAGGGAGAGAAACAAATCACTAGATACATCTAACATCGATCCTGGTCAAGGGGGACTCGACCTATTCCATATGCTTCAAAAGCACCGAGGTGGATAGGTAGAAATGGTTATGTTGGCTTTAGGATACTCATCTCCGGCATCAATTTCCGGGACCATGGGCCTAGACTCAGGCGGTGTGGAATGGAATGAAGATTGCAAGCGTAACATTGGGCTCGCGAGCGTTTCTCTGTCTCCCGACATTGCTATACAGGCTCGCACTTTTTCCTCATGTCGCACACCTCATCCATGGCGTCGGTAGTGAATTGCCGTGGTCAAGGATCTCGCAACGGAACGTCTTATGACTGCGTCCGGCAAGTCGTGATCCGATGAGATGGCACTTCATTCACTTGCATCCCTGGTTCGAAGGGAGTCGACCCGATGGGTGCAGGAGGCTACCGCCACTCCCAGCAATTCAACTTTAAATTGCATCATACCTAGATACTTTCGTCCTCCGTTACTCGATTCTACTGGTATGAAGTGCCCTATCTCCGCAAGAAGCAGGTCTACCTTGCTATGTGAGTGTGTTTAGACTACCCGACTCTATTTTAAACACTGCTACGTCGTTCCCCCCTGTCGTGTCCAAAGTACGTACTAGTACTAATTGAAAGATCTGCCCCGGTGTGTGAGCAGGAACGGTCCAGCTCGTGTCTGTTGTCACACCCCGAGAGCCTGAGAGGAGGCAATTCATTCCATTGCAAAGAGCCCTGGCATGACATGACGCGCCATGACTCCCCTGCTTGGCCAGCCGGGATGCTACTTTTCGAAGGGGCAGGATCAATATTTCGATGCGGAATAATTACCGATATTGGCGCCATTCCACAGGGAAACAATGATTCTTCCTCAGAGAGACTTGGACTTTTCGACTGTTTCCTACAAATACGGGCATCAATCCGGTCTAGATTCATCCAATCTTAAACTCGGAACCCGGCAGAGTTGGAGCCCAAAAGAGTATCCTGAAGAAGAATGTCGATCGATGGAGCTGTCCAGAGCTGAATCGCGTCGTGTTTCCTTATTAATATCCTGTGGCGTTCTGCAAGTGTCGATCCTTTCTTCTTCAACGTTGCACTTCATTTTTTCTCCCGCATTGCATCTCGTATCCAGAATCCAGAATCCAGAATCCAGACCGACCCCGTCTGCGTGTACAAAGTACGAGTCGGGCCTTATTCATCAAATCACTTTACCTATCTGCGGCCATGTGCAGTCATCCAAGCTTTCCACGTACGTGGCGGCGGTGGGCTCGTCCCTCCGTTCCCATCCTGAACATCCGATGCGAATCAGCTGGGGGACCATCCTTTTGAATTACCCGGTCAGAGGGTAAGACGGAAATTGACCAGGGCTTCAAGTAAGACGCACGGGAGCGATCAGGGATTCAGGGCGTGCTGAACTGGCCGAACAAAAGCTCCGACTCCAAGCATAAATGCCCATAATTAATCTGCAAGACCCGTCCGTTCACGCCTCGTATAGGGCGGCGGGTTCCACCAAGTCCCGCGTCATTGGCGAATTGCCACGCCAAACCTGACGATCACTATTCCCGTCTGACGGTGGTTAACCAATGATGTTGCCGGCTGTGATGAGCTGCTGAATGTGATCCTTTCGCTTAGCTTTCCCACCTCCCAAGGTCCTCAGTGGAAATCCGAGGATGATGACAATCCGAAAAATAAAGCCCCGCAAAGGTTGCCTTGCGGATCTCACGGGTCATTTTATCGCGCTAGGGTAGGGTGAGCAGGGTGAGCTGAGAGGCGATTGTCAAGTTTATCAATCGGCTCGGTTCGCCCCCGCGAGATTTCTTCTTCCCCGCATAATATTTCCCCCTTCGAATCTATAGGACATTGTGTGCCGAATCGATCCGGACACCACTGTAGATCCAACGGCAAGATGCACTTCACGGTACTTGCTTCGCTATCCTTGCTGGGCGTCGCCACGGCCTTCAAGGACTCGGTCGAAGCGCAGATCGTGACAAAGCAAGTCCAGACGGTCAACGGCACCGTCGAGTATAGGACTGTTTGCAAGACGTGTCCGTATACCTTGTGCCCCCATCTCGAAGCACCCTGGGGCGGTGATGTTTATTCCTTGACCTGCTGGACATAGTGAGTGACAGTGACTGACTCCGACTCTTCCGCGTATATCCAAAGCATGATCTGACCTGATGCAATTTAGTGGCGACCGTGTCGGAGACTCTCAATTGTGGTGTATGTTTGATTTTCTGGACGTTTTATCTCTCTCTCTCTTTTTTTTTTTTTTTTTTTTTTTTTTTTTTTTTCTATTTATTTTATTTTCATAACAACTTGATTTTCTTCCCGTGCACTCAAACGCGACACAGAATACTGGCTAATATTCCGACAAAGTGAAAACAACGACGGGATGCTACCTTTCAGAGTATGATCTCGTTGAGTATGCGGGCGATTGTAAGTCTACCACAAAACAATGATTGTGGGATTCCAGGGATGACCGCAAGTTCTCTCTAACAATAATGTAGTCAGGGAGGATCTCGCCAGTTGCGGCCAAGTTCCGTACGAAGTCACCGAGCAGCCAGCTCAGATTCGCTATCTCACCGAATGCAAATGGGGATACTCTACGAGTGCCGAATCCATCACCTACTACGGACGAGATCTCGACTTGACTCTGCTCTGCTGGGCTGAGGGCGGGACCGTCTATGGAGATTCGTATGTTTTTTCCCAAGGAAGCAGAATTTTCTCGGGGCTTCTTGTTAACGATTCTTTGCAGTTACTGGTACAAGACAACCGACAACTGCTGCGTGAGCGGCTCGGGTCTCTGGGAAACTCCTGGTAAGTTCACTGAGAGGGAAAACCCCTCAAGACTCAGACAGACATGTGCTAAAGCGCCGCTAGATCGGAGCCAACTGGACAACTGCGGCCCTGCCTTCGGCCCTCGAATCAACGAATCAGTCGAGCCCCCCGAGCTCCCTGGCGATAAGAAGCCTACTCCTCTCCCCATTGAGGAAGAATCCGCTGCCGCACCGGCGCCGGAAGGCTCGTCGGTCGCCCGTCGCTGGCTGCAGCCCGAGCAGATTGGCGAGGAGTATTCGTACTGCCGTACCTGCCCTAGCAGCGCGTCCGGCTCGAACTGCCGTGTCGTCAAGGTCTACGAGTATAACCAGACTGTGGTTAGTCAGTGCACTTTGGGTAATGACGAAGGGCGATGGATGGTGAGTTGGATGAAATTTACCGTTGCCAATTCTTAGATTGCTAATTCGATGTACAGTTGACCACGGACTGGTGCTATGTTAATGGCACTGACTTCTGGGAGCCTCCCTGGGATCGTGAGTTTGCCATTCTCCTTCTAATACTTGCCTTCAAACGTGGCGTGTCGAAACTGACTAGAATAAGATTACCGATACCCTGCTTGTAGCAACTGGGGACTGCCCTGAAATGGCTAGGAGATGGGACAAAGACAGACATGCCATCGGAATGAGTGGGTGAAGGCTTATGTTGATACCGAACATATTACTCTTCTACTGTTGATATTTAATATTAAGACCTCAATGCCTACCTGGCGGAGTGCTTTTTCGACGCTCATTTGTCCACTGGGTTCCCAACCTGCTACTGTACTGTAGACTCACAAAACGGTCCCCTTGCAGCTCATATTCCTCACATTCTGTAGCAGGTGAAACTCGAGGTAAGGATCCCCACTCAACTAATCAATTCATTGATCGATCGAGATGAGCATTTGATTGTCGCTGCCATAAAACAGTTGAGTCCACTCGCCACCTACAACTCACCTCGACTTTGGAGGATGAAGAAAAAAAATGAAAAGAAAAAAGAAAGAAAAAAAAAATTAAAACTAAGGGAGGAAAAAGAAAATTCCCACTCGGAAAAAAAGAATGCCAAAAAATCAAGATGTTTTAGCATCTCCCATACCAGGAATCGAACCAGGGTCTATGCTGCGCTCATTAGATGAGAGAGCATTATGCTAACCACTACACCATATGGGATGGTGGATTGTTGAATGTTAGCGACGAACATCCACATCATCTAGATTCGAATTCGAGGATCCACCCTCGTTAATTAATATTCCGTCGCTGGTCACAATTGGCAGAGGGAGGATGAATGAACTTATTTGTGAGGTCTAGTCCAAAGAGGGGGGTAGCCGCGTCACAGTTTGCTGCTCCTCCCGAAAACGGCGTGACTGAGTAGACCAGGGAAGAGAGTGATCTGGAGCTAGACTATATCCGAAAATTTCTTTAGACTTCTTTCTCCCATGGAATCAGCATGCCCTGTGATGGCAGGCATCGGGAAGCTCTCCTACGTCTAGTGATAAAATAACTCTGTACTTAAGTCGCCCCTTTTCTTGGCTAATTATCCACGAGCCCTCTCCAGCTGGACGAGACTGCACGAGTGCACTTTTGGCTCAATGTCGTGTGTTGACCTGAGCAATTCCCGAGGAGCATTGCGCGTGCCTCCTCCAAGCCGTGAGACGCCTAGAAATATTAGGTGTACGGTCGCCGCTTGGAACAACCAAGATGTACGACTGTATCATATTCTCATATGGCTCGAGACAGGCGCCGGCATTGGGCGTTTTCGACTCCTATTAGTCTACCACTAGTAGTGCCACTTGTAGGTGTTGATAATTAGAAACTTTCCCCGGCCAGGTGTGACGGCGTCTCTGGTATTCCTTGTGCCAGAGACAAAGGGCTCGCACCGAGTTCAGATCACTACGCCTTCTGTTTTCTTTAGGGTGCAGTCCTCGACCTTGACACTGGCAGTCCCTCTTCAAATTCTCTTGCCATGTGGTCCTCTTCCCAAATGGAACAGTCATAGGATCTCCCTTCACTCTTCAAGCTGGTCGCATCTTCGATTACCTAGTGACTGAGAGCTTGGAGGTCGGGAATAACCACACCGGGCGGTTTGATGATGACGTTCGGTATTTATATTTCATCTTAAATCGCAAATGATTTCCCGGTATGAAAATACCCAAGAGGGCAACGCCTGTAACGATTTGGCAGGAACCACGCTTCGAGGAGAGATGGGTCAGGCATTATCAAATACAGGGAAGGCGCTCCGCCGCCCAAATCCCTGGCACACGCCCATGGCGGATCGATGGACTAGGGTTCTTACCCGTAAGAGTTTTCATATTATTTATGTAGCAGTCATTCGAGATACAGGGTTCAGGATGATGCTACGGTGGTGTCTGAGCGCCTCGACGATCGCGAACCAAACAGATGAGACTAATTGGTGAGTATCCAAAACAGCTCCTTTTCCCCCATGTCTTGGATCGAGAGAAACTGGCGGTTCTCGTTTTCCCTCTATAGAGCCAGAATAAAGCTTCTCTCGAACTCCTGACTGGAGAGCTTTAAGCATTTGGAATCGTTTCTGTGAGTTGTAGGCTTGAATCCTTGCAAAGTGTTTCGCAGATCCTTCGTGATTCCTCCCAAAAGAACCTTGTCTGAAGGATGGTACCTGACAATTTTAAGGCGGCACGCCCCTGGGCGTACTACGCGAAACCCAAACATGCCAATCTCCTTTTTGTTTTGACCTCGAGACCTCGAACGAACGTGTTTAGCACGCCTAACCCCGACCTCGCATGCTTCGGCATTTTCTCTCCTCCATAATCGCCCCGTCGACTTCGATGAGCTGGTTCGCGAGAGACACGGTGCACGCCTAATCTTACCATTTACCAAACAGACAAAGTAGGGAAAATTGCCAAGCCTTCGCGATATGGATGACACTGGTCTTCCCGAGTTGGCCGACTTTCCCGACGAAGAAACCTCGTTGGCTCGGTCACTCAAAATAGCGACCTGGGTAATGTTTGCAATCGCGTCGACATTTCTTGTTCTCCGATTCGTCTGCCAGGTCTACGGCAGACGAAAACTCTGGTGGGATGATGGGCTCCTGATCATCTGCTGGGTATGAATTCTACTTCCCATTTCCAAGCGCGTGGGGGCATATTGTCTACGGTTTCTTAGCTTGTTTTTCTCGGGAGTTGACATTCATCTAAGGCCGTATTGGTTGCGAACGCTGCGACAACGACCAGAGCGGTCGACGCCTTCGACTGGGGGTTACCCTCCGCCTTCCTCACGCTGGAAAAGATCGAGGCCGTGATTCTCTATAGATTGATCCGGGTCACTTTGGCAGCTCTCACAAGCGCCTGGGCCCAGAGCGCCCTGGGCCTGTCTCTCACCCGCGTAACTGAAGGCTGGATGAGAACCTTGGTTTTTGCCATCCTCGCCATGGTCAACCTCGTCGCTCTTTCTCGTGTGTTTCTCACTTGGTTCCAGTGCACGCCAGCATCAGGCAAGTGGGAAGTATCGGTGCGTATTACTAGCTGCGTCGACGAGAAAGCCACGGAGATATATTATCCCGCCTTCTGTGCAGGTGAGTAGAACTAAGACGGCTCGCGCATACACAATCAGGGCGATTTTTGCATGGAGAGGACTGAAGAAAAGTTTGGATGATAGCTTACTCGGCCGCCATGGACATTGTCCTCACTGTAATTGGCATGAAATTCCTCGTGGTGGGTCAGCGAACAAACCGCTGGGAGAGGGCTAGCAGGGTCCTATTCGTAGCCCTAGGCGTATTGTATGTTCAATATCTGTACGGAGCTGGAGGAGGAGTCGTGCCACTAATGCCTGGTCATCAAGTGCTGCTATCACCGCCATCGTCAGGGCTAGCAAGCTAGAGCCTCTTAACGGATGTAAGTCTCAAACAACCCTCTGCTTTCGACGCACCTTCTATGACCCCTGATTTGGGAGAATGGCAACTCACTGGTGGCAGCTATGATCGACCATATGACCGTGCTCGACATTTGGGAGATCGCCGAGGGGCCAGTCCTCATTGCTGTTGCTTGTATCCCTGCACTTCGGTTCCTCACCCGCGACACGAAGAGTCGAGCGGAACCAGTCGACGCCGCGCCCAATGTGTCGGAGTTGGATGGCACAGCAATCTACGCTCCGAATGCTGGCTATTACGGCCCAGAAAAAGGTCAATGGCAAGGGACGGAAAGTGGGAGTCAAGGGTCGAGCCGTGGCGCTGGCAACACCCAGACGCAATGCGCGGAATTGCCTTGATATTACATGCGAATAGCAATTTTTCATTTGTTCCTGGGATGCACTGCCAGACCTCTGCCAGCAGATACTTCACTTCTTTTGATTCTAGTGAGTTTATGTTTAGCTCTGACCGGCATTGCAGCGCGTAGAGTCATCAAACATTTAAAGTACTGCTCAGTCACCCCTGGAGAGTGATGAAATTGCAATAGGTCAATGTGGCAGTAGAAAACCCGTCCATTGTTTGTTCGAATAATCAAGCGGCAGTCGTCTTCGGTTTCATGGGTCTGCCAGAGAACGATATTGTAGTTTAGAGGTATTGCCATACTAGATGAGATATAGAAAGGGTCGGGTTTAGTGGACGACGGACGGGTGGAGGAGTAGAAGAAGTCGATCGGATTTCGAGCTGATAAGGGGTAGACATGTCCAACCTAGTCCTTTCCAAACGACGATCAGCCGGGCAGTTTCGAACTTCGAACGACGACATTCAGAAATCAGAATTTAGTACCCACTATCTTCATTACTAGATGTTCGGAAATCGGTTTATACAACTAAGAAATACAGCATCTTAGTCCTTTTACGAGTCTGGTAGATTCGGAAGCTTCCGCGATAACTAAAGTTCTACTCAAGCCAACCCCTTCAACAAAAATAGAAAAGAAATAATCCCCCCCCCCCAAAAATACCTCATCGCCCTTATTACCCCGTCGGGAACTCGCGCGCCTGCAGAACCACCCTGGAATCACCCTACGGGATGGGGATCTTCTTTAGCACAGGAATTTATTTACTCGACCCCCGGACACCGGCGGTCGCTCGGAAGATCCGGCCCCATGGGTTTTTGCCCTCGTCAGGGCTCGAACCCAGGAGCCTTCTCCCCCTCGCTTCCTCACTGCGTCCTCTGACCATCGGGCCGTCGGCTGCTGGTGATAAGCCGGGGCTTTATTATGATATATAACACATAAGCACGGTATTTTGGGGGGTGGGAAGATCTGGTGTTTGCCCACGTCCAGGGGTGTCATGGCTCTAAAGACTACTCCTCGGCTTCAAGCCCGCTGCCTCTGATACTTTCGATAGCCTGAATTATGACAGGATGGAACTTTCCACTTATCTTCACATCCCCAGATTCGCTCGGATGTAGGCCATCGTAGAGGTCTGTCGTACCACTGAAGCCCGTGTACTGATCAACAACCCAGATGGGAGATTCAGTCGAGTTCTTGGACGCTGCCCACTCAGGGATGGCGGCATTGAGTTCTTGGACAAGCCCGTCATTCGCTGGGTAGGGGATCATTTGAGCGACCTGTGTGAGTCAGATCTTTTCTCTATGCCGGGAGGGATGGAGGGGAAGAAGAAGAAGAAGAAGAAAAGAGAAGATGTCTTACGATTATCCTGATCTCCGGATTGCTGTCCCGCATCTGGTCCACAAGCGCGCTGTATGCCTCCAGAATCACATCTGCCTTTGTCCCCGATCGAACAATATCCACAGTCCCCAAATGCATAGTGATGATATCCGCAGGATTATCCTTCAGCCACCCCACCAACTGCTTGTCCTTGACGATGTCCACGGCTTGGAAACCGGGATGGCCCTCGTGGTCCCGATCGTAGTCTAGATCGTCGCAAGTCGCTTGAGCCTGGCGGCTACCGACAAAATCAAGAGTATAGCCGTCTTCCTTAAGCTTCTCGGCGAGCCATGGGCGCCAGCATCCGTAGTCCGTGATGGAGTCGCCGAAGGGCATGCACCGGAGAGGCTGTTGGGCGAGAGCTCCGCGGAGCAGAGTCGTGAGAACGGCAATACCGAAAACTCCTAACATCCTTACGAGAGAGCGACAAGCTTTCACAATAGTGTCGCAACAGCGAAGGAGAAAACGCTGAATTGACCGAACTCCGCTCACGAGACTGGTTTCTCCCTGCCAAGACTATGCCCAGACATCACACGTCACCGGAGAGAATTCAGCCGGCAAGATTCATCCGCGATATATTTCAAATTGCAACCGAGCAAACCAGGAATAGTCGGGAGGAGCAAGATTCCACACTCCCCGCCGATAATAACCGCCACATGGTCTTGGGCAGGGAGACATTCAGGGGACTGTTGGAGAACCCCACCTAGAATCGTCGGGGTAGATCAGAGTATATTCATCTGCAAACGGAGAAACTCCAACATCCTTGTATTAATATCGATAGAGAAGAGAAAGTGAACATTATTCTCAAGGATGCACATGGCGATACATCGCATCCCATTCCCAAACATTACATCCAACGCCGAACCGCTCGTTCAAAGTCTCCGTCCGTTATATGGTTTTCAGTGTCCGGTCACAACAATCCGGCGGCGGCGGCGACGATGCCGGCGATGAAGAGAGCACTAGGAGAGTTGCTCATCGCCTATTTCTCAAGTTAGAATCATCGATTTCTTTCGAGTCACATATTCCCAACATCAAGGCACCGGGGGGTTCTTACCATATTGACTGTAACGGGAGCCGAGGGCTTGCCAGGAGTGGAACCTGAGCCAGTGGGGCCAGAGTTGCCGCCCGTCCCCGAGGGCTCGGAGTCTTTACCGTCCTCGCAGGTGCAGTCTTCGTCATCGTCATCATTGTTACCGGGTCCCTGAGTAGCTGTCTTGGTTTTGGTGCAGGAGGTGCTGCTGGCAGTCGGGGGACGGGTCGAGGTGATGATGGTGGTGGGCTCGGCGCTAGTTGAGCCGGAGGGTTCGACGACGGAGCTCGATGGTTCGACATCGCTGCTGGAGGGGCTAGAGGAGCCAGACGGCTCGACGGAGCTGGAGGGCTCGGCGGTCATGGATGGCTCGGCGGAGCTTACTGGCGGCTCCGTGGTATCGGGGCCGGATGTAGAGGCTGGTGGTTCAGAAGAGCTGGGTGGCTCCGGGGCGGTGCTTGGGGCGCTAGACGACGATGGGGTGGCGTTCTGGGTAAGTCGGCGTCAGCTCAAGGGCTGATGAATATGGGTGCAAGATTCTGGTAGGAGGCTAGCCAACTTACGGGATCAGGAACAGGGAAGTTGATAGGAATCCCAAGCTCTGTAAAATATCCATGCTGTCAGCAACCATTGCGGCCCAATATTGGGCTGGGCCGGTGCGCATTCAAAACTAACCAACGCAGATTTGGGTACCAAAGGCGACGGCAGCTTCGGCATCGGTCTCGTTGGGGCAGCCAGTGCTGGTGTTCTGGATCCAGTACCACTGCGTGACGGGGTCTTTGCAGAAGCAGATCAAGTCATTGGCCTCGGTGCACGAGGAGATGTATTGCTCAATAGTGCCCATCAAAACAGGATACTAGCACGGGGGCGGGCGAACCCGGTGTCAATTCTGGGTACGAAGCAGTTGATGTGTCAACTAATAGTGAGGGGGGCGTGGGGGGGATGCTCACGGCACAGTTGGGGATGTATCCAAGGCCTTGGGCAGAGGCGAGCCCGAGGAGGCCGGTCACGGCTAGTGCGATGGAGGCGGTTGTGTTCTTCATTATGTTTATGCGCTAATGCGGTCGCGGGCTTAAGTGTTGATGACTGAAGCTGTGGCGAAGCGACGGACTGGACTGGATCAAGAGGATATCTATCGTAATACAAATCGGATCAAGCGGCAGACAGAGACCTAACGAGCGACGGGTAACGAGTGACGGGACGTGATAGAGCACGTTGAAGACAGTTGAAGAGCCGGCGAGATCGAAAGATTTCACGAGAGTGGGCAAACCAGTTGATATATTTCTGTGCTACGAAGGTCTGTTACCTCATGGCTCACGCCGCCTGCGCCTGAGTGGAAAACGTAATTTCCACTGCCAATAATGTGACAATTCGTGCTTCCCTCCACCGACTAGGGTTGGGCTGGGATCCTTGAACCTATGCGCAAAGGGTGTCTTAGAGGTAGATGGATACAACCCAACTCTCAAAAGAAAAAAAGAAAAAGTGAGAGACTAGTACTAGTTTGGCATGGACGGGTGATATCTTGACCAGGCCAACTCCGTCTCCCAGACCCGCTACAGCCAATTCCGGACGAAATACCGAGGTAGGGTACTCAAAGTACGAGGGAAAGGAATGATTGTTAGAATGCCCTTGGAAATCGGCCAACAGATTGAAACCGGACTCTGCTGTGGCGCTGGAAGTAATTTTAAAGAATCAATAATTGGACCCATCGTCGAGCTCATCTCGCCCTCACGGCAAGAGGACAGGGGGACCAGGGGACGGGGTGGGCCGGGCCAGGCCACAGTTTATCAATCAATCTAATCAATCGCATCGATCATCTGATAAAAGGGGAGAGGGTAGGATCGAATCATTTTGAACCCCCCCCCCCCAACGCTCGCCTGCCCGCATTCATCTGCCCCATCCCATCCCTGGACTAGGCCCAAATCGGGGACTCTTTGTGCCGCAATCGGAAGCAGGACTTGCCAGGGTTTTCTGATCCGCTCATGCAGTGGACTTGTCGAGGTAATGGACGGAATCCCGCACCACTTACGTCCCCTCGACCTGATGGGATTCGAATACGAGCCACGCCAAGTCGCGGATTCGGGGCTGGCCTCCATGGAGTGGGATAACGGATAACAAATCACTCGCACAGATGTGCTCACAACAGTGCCTAGAAAGCATGCAAGTACATACTAGTCGCAGTGTACATGTTGAGAGTCAGGCCAGGAACAAGTGTGAACTCATGAGACACCACGTTGTTTTCCTGCTTCTCCTTGCCGAGCGTTAACCGAAGGGGATCCAACGAGTCTTGGCTAACTAATAAAGGTGCGGACCTGCCGTTGAAAATGCGAGCAGCCAGCGGTCCGTTCCGTCAAGGAGCTGCTTCTTAGACGGATGCTAAACCAGACGTTTAGTGTCGTGTTTTACCTCTTCTCTGCCCGTACGGAGTAGTCGTGTCTGATGTTTTGATGGCAATAGACTATGTCAGTTGTAGTGGAGTATCTCCATCATCCGTTGATGGTAGGCGCTTTGACGAGGTACTTTGGACTGAAGAGAGATTCCTTTCCGTTCTCTTTTGCCTGGCATTCCGCTTGTAACCTGGAAAAGGCCCCTTGGCCAGGCTTGCTCCGCTGGAAACCGGTCGCATGGATTGAAGTCGAGGACCATGCGTTCCGCATCCACCCACGATACAACCGCAACTGAAGATCATTACCAGACATGATCTTCAACGTGCTGTGGCTGCAGGCCTCGGTACACCATGTCGAGTAGCATGCTACAACTCGGATGCGTCTGCTCCCACGTTTCCGTCCCCCGTAAGAATCATAGGATCAATCATCGAGAATAAAAAGTGAAAATGTTCCACATTAAGGGATATGCATGAATTGTTTTCTTTTCTTTCAAAGCTTAATACTGCGAGTGGGCTTAATTGATAGGGACACTTCTTTTCTCAATCCCCTCGCCTGGTTGAGCAGCCTCGTAAGCTTGACACCAAAGTTTCGGCGAGGTGTCTGACAGGACGGTCTTGAAAACGAATACCAGCTTAACAGGTGTTGCCCATCCAACCGATAGTAGCATTGTTGACTAGGTAGAATGCGAACGTCAGCGCTCCCCCGGGAACGTGAGGGACTTGTAGATATATTTCCGTTGCCACTCACGAGTGCAAGTATCCAGACCAAACTGGAGAGCATCCTCCTTCTCATCGGCAGGACAGTTTTCGCAGACGCACTGCTTGTAGAGCGTGACAAAGGTAACGCTCTTGCAGAAGCAAAGGAACAGATTCGCCTCTTGGCAAGCCATGAACGCGGGCAAGTTGGTTAGGTAGATGTTGGTGAAGCAAGACATCTGGCACCGTTTGAGATTAGTACATATATTTAGAAAAATTGCGAGACCAGCATGGGATGTGGCAGGCGAAATCTTAGTTTGGAAGTCTTACAGCGCAATCGGGGATGTCGCCGTCGGGAAGGCCATCGTGGTTTTCATCGGGGATCTGGCCCTGGGCGAGGCCGAGGACGGTGGCAAGACCGAAGAGAGCGGTGGAGAACTTCATTTTGTCTGGTGGTTTGGGCTTTTGTCACTGCAGGACTAGGCAATTGAGGAGATGAAGTGTATCAATGATGGCGATGGTGAGAGTAGTCTGGAGATATCTTCTCGAGAGACCGACGGAAAGACAATGTCCTTTTTATATCTGAAAAGTTCCTCTTCAAATGCTCGGTCTGAAGGGCAGAAGCCTCTCGCCTCCGCAGCCCCCCTACGACTGCCATTGCTCAACAAGAAGGAGCCCCTTCAATCCATCCTTAGCCAACCCCGCCTTGAGGTCGACGATTCGGTGCGTCTTTTTCGTCCATCGTCTCCCGAAAATTTCTTCAAGCACCATGCGAGCTATCCTGCAGAGTAACCCCGCCATCCATAGTTCCAAGCTGCAAAGCCGCAGTCGTTGCTCCACTCGAGACCCCGGTATCGAGAGGCGTGTTGCCAATCGAGATGCAAGTGGATGCTTTGAGGTCATCCGAGGCACGCTTGAGAAGAGTTGGGAAGGTATGAAAAGATCCCACGGATGAGACTCCAGGAAGCTGATTGCCTCAGAGAAGAGTGGGGTTTTTCAACGTTGGAAACCCCCGAGAGCACTGGAGTGATTGAGTCGGTATACTGCCTCAAAGATGTCCGCTCGAACTGCCCACGCACACGAGGGTACCGTTTTGCGGCAGCCTGCAGGCTCTTTGGGCCATGGCCTGTCGCAGTGGGATTCAACTGATGACGTACATTACAGGGTAACAAATCTCCAACTCCGCACGAGTGCAGGCAAGTCTACTCCGTCTGTCTGTACTAAGCAACACAGCTGGATAGGGTCGTCGACTGATGAGGTCCGATCGGATCCAGCGCCAGCTAGAGCCCCGGAACTCGTCCTTGTGTCTGTCCAGCAAAACTACGAAGGTATGCCCCGTATCATATAATCTCAGAGCCGTTATCCATGGTCTGCTGGGAAAATCTACTTCGATACGTAAAAGGCAGGGAGAGATACATGAGGAGAACAAGAAAACTCCGAGGAGGCTGGTTTCTTCGGACGCGGGACCACATACAGGGAATCAGCACATTACTGAATTCCTTATTACAGCTTCCTAAAATACGTAAGTGGCTTTTCAGGTTCCCATCGAGTACCTTTGCACATACTCAGCACATTCCCATTTGAGGCTGCCTCCGTCGAGACGGACCAATAGACAAACGAGAAGCGATCTTATCTGATCATCTGATAAAGAGGGAACACACACCGGGGACGTGGGATCGCCAGAGACCTCGGCGCGAATTTCATGCCCTGGCAGTGGTTAGAATTTGTACCTCTAAACTACACTAGATCGCAATGCTGCGAGTTATGCTGTAAACATGAGTGGACTTGCTGCATGTTTTCATATCCTTCGTATTTTGAGATCCTTGCATCACTAGACTGCTGGCGATGGTAAGGGTCGTGGCCACCCGTAACCACACCAATTGTAGAGGATGCTCCAGTGCAGAAAACCCCTGTTTCCGCCCACTGCTTGGCGTGGCGGAGCTCTGGTCTTGGTGGCTGAAAGACCCCGATGTCGGAGATTGCGCGCTCCTGTCACTGCTCGATCCGAAGACCACAATCTGGGATAACTTAATGCTGGATCTGAGCTTGTTCTTTGTGCCCTTCAATGGAAAGTTGCCGTGCGTTTTCAATCCGAGCGTTCCATGCCCTGTAAATCACAAGTCATGCGAGATGTATGCCTCCCACGCCCTCTCTCAACCAATTGGGCTCGTTTTCCGAATTTACCTTGGAGCATGGTCCCCCTGAAACTATGGCGCCAAGTTAGAGCCACCCAAAATCACCTTGCCACCACCTCAGATGCTGAGAGGTGGTCCCTGGGTTTGACTCGGACGAGACTAGGGCCATCCCGAGTCCGGGTTGTACGAGTGACAGCGCGCTCGCTCCGGGGGACAACTCGCCTTTGATAGGGCTGTTCGGTCACACTTTTCAACTCCGTACAAGTACGCTAGATCGCCATCTCGCCCAACATGAACTCCATGCTCGCTACTTTGTGCACTAGGCAAGGACGGATCTACTCCCCCAGAAGTCAGGTCGGATGGTGAAGGATGGTCCAAATGTGACGCCAAATCAGCACACGCAGAGACGATGGACTTGATCCATCACCCTGTGATCTTACACAGAGTTACATTGCATTTTCGATATCACACAGATTGGTGCGACTATGTGGCACCCCACGGTTTGCGAATGTTTTCTCATCAAAGGCAATATTCACTAGTCTATCCCGTCTCACCCTGGACTTCAGCTGCGCCGGCCAGGAGTTCGTCTTCTTCAGCTCGCCGAAGTCGCTCTTTGGATGACGCCCACTACTTTACCTTGGCACCCCGTGAGTTCGTGATCCTCTCAGAGATGGGCGGACGATGTCTAAGATTAGAAGTGATTCCCCTCATCTTGGTCAGTCACTCTGAAGCTCTCGAGCAGGGAGCTTCACGGCACGACCCTAGTCTCTACGGCGGTGTATCACCTTTAAAGAATAACACGGCAGACTTTTTTTTAAGTGTACTCAATCATGGAGATCTTTTCTGCTTATAGATGACGAAAGGAATCGGACTTGTCGTGGGCCCGACACCCCGGTTTTGTGTCCCTCTCACGAAGCTTAACACACCACGGGCCATGAGTACGCCTAGTAGGTGCTAGGGCAGCCCTCCACCCTGGGCGGGTTACCTACTGCACCTTGTCGTGACAGCAGTGGGCCAAAGCTCGCATAAGCGACGCTACCATTTGGACCCAGCATGGAAGGAATAATAGATGACGTGTTTCCCCTGGTCATACCTCGTGGGCTTCAATCTTGGCTTTCGTGCGGGGGCGGTTAGCTGCTAACACGACTCGCATTGAGGTAGGTTACAAACAAGAATATTGTCCAATACGGAGTACATTGCAATCCAAACAGCTTCATCTCCGAATAAAGATATGCTGCTTATGGTGGCTGGCCAAGAAAGGAACATCCCACGGGACTAGTTCTATCCAGAGGAGTGTCATCTATGCCTCCATTATCTGGTTCGATAAAAGAAAGATACTCGAGGTAGATAGATTAAGTGCCACATCCACACATTCGCACATGGACAAAGTCGTGGGCTCTCTCCAGTATGATCTGGCACGGTGTGTCCAAGTCCCGAAAAGAGTGTGCTGCGCATGGATCAAGGCAGCCAAAGTTCACGAAATGCGTGCTATGGAAACTAAATCTTACAGGATTCGATATCACCGAATATACACAACTCGGACATCCTGCAAAACAAAATAGAATCCAAAGGAAAGAACCGTTGGGTTGACAAGAACGAGTGAACCGATGCCTGCGGGTCGACCCCATTCTCCGGGTGCAAGGTAGAAATGCGGAGATTCCATGGCTTTCGACGCCGGGCACTGCCCGGCCCGTGTTCTATTGGCTGGTATTTAGATTAAGTGGACGAGCAAACATCCACGTTGCCAAGAAGCGTAAATAAACATGCCCTTGCCACGAGCAGGTTTTGGGCGTGTTTAAACTGTGTGTTAAGGAAATCGCTGTGCGTTTATCCGGACAGTTGCAAATACAGAGGGTTTCCTCACGTCTCTCGGTCTCTTGGTAGCACAGCATGAAACCAGGGGTAATATTGATGCAGGATACTGGTAGCCCACGTAACTTCGATCATCGTGGAGGGTAGGACACCAAAATCTCGCCAAAAGCCACGTTGGGAGACGTCGTTCGGACCAGATTCTCGATCAGACAATTTCTTCTCTATTTTTTTTTAAGCTAGTTTAGTTGATATCACTGGTAATAGACTTCTCAAGTACAGAACACGCGTGATGAACGAGACGCGCCGACACGGACACGGGACAAGGTGCTAGATCACAACGACAGTCGCGGGAAATCCGGGACCCGCCCCGTGATAGTGGAGACGAGAACTCCGCAAGTTAGAGCCGGATCATGACGACTTGACAATTTGCCTGTCTGCGACTTGCCCAGACTTCAACCGATGTATCATTTCAATTCTCCAATTTCTGGTTTTGCACAGCCACTCTGGTCCTCCTTCATTTCTATCATGCCAGAAGCTGCCTTCATAAACTCATCCTATCGTGTACCTGATAATAAACTGGATCCCCTCCATTACGGTGACCCCGCGGCTTGGCGTCTCGCCACCTTCTCATCCTCCCCAATCGTCTTCCTGGAGCTTCATTACAAGACAATGAGGAAAGGAAGCATCACGGAATTGGACAATGAAGAGCGAAAGCGTCGTCGGCGGTGCGATTTCCCCCGCAAACATGCGCCCGGCCCCCGCTCTTCCATTGCTTCCGTGATGATCGCCCGCATGAGGTGGAAGTTCGGGGAAGATTCCACCTTTTTTATTGACATTACCGCTATTTTTGCGTGTTACCCTGCAACTCTAAACACGGCCTAATATAGTTATCGTCACCATATTCTCGGTCCTGGCCCCTCCGAAGTTGCAGTCCGCATGATTGCCTCCCCAGTCCTGGACCGGCCTCCCATCATACCCACCATCACACCGATCCCGATCCCTTATACATGTAGTATTGCCCAGACTTTTCTCACATTCTTGATCTCCATTTCCTTTCCCCTCCCCAACATAACTCAATATACGATCCTCCCTTGGCAGCTTGGCAAGAGGCCTAGCATGCGTTGATCGTTGATTAATGCCAATCGACTCCTCCCGGATGAAACGATCGAGATACCAGAGAGCCGTCAACAAGATGGAGATGACGGAGAGAGGCCAAGATTTGCAGCGAAAGCTCAGGAGCATAAATGGCCATACCGCGCCATGGGAAAAGGGGGACTCCTCTTAGGATGGCACTCGCCTCCTCCAAAGCTTTACCACTCCATTTTACTCACAAACCGCACACTTATTCTCTCTTTTCCAGCGGCAAATTACCCGTAGCCACAATGCTGACGTTCGCTGCTCTTTCCATGCTGGCCCTCGCCCGGGCCCAGCAGGTCGGCACCGAAACCTCCGAATCCCACCCCAAGATCACCTGGCAGCGTTGTACCGCTCCCGGCCAGTGCACCAACGTGAACGGCGAAATCGTCATCGACGCCAACTGGCGCTGGGTGCACGAGGTCGGCGGGTATGAAAACTGTTACGACGGCAACCAGTGGACCGATCTCTGCTCCAGCGCCTCCGACTGCGCCAAGAACTGCGCCGTCGAGGGCGCTGACTACTCTGGGACATATGGTATCACGACCAGCGGTGATGCTTTGACGTTATCCTTTGTTACAGAGCACGAGTATGGCAAGAACATCGGTGCTCGAACCTATCTCATGGAGAGTGATTCCAAGTATCAAATGTTCACTCTTATGGATAATGAGTTGGCCTTTGACGTAGACTTGTCGGCTGTCGAATGTGGCATGAACTCGGCGTTGTATCTTGTCCCCATGAAGCCCGATGGTGGCCTCAGCGATGAACCTGATAACGAAGCTGGTGCCAAGTATGGTTTGGGATACTGCGATGCCCAGTGCGCTCGTGATCTAAAGTTTATCAATGGAAAGGTAGAGTGTTCTCCTTCCCCTCCACCACCAACTACCTAAACTAAGAAGAGTCCTGTTTGAGCTAATGCATGGCATATCCATAGGCAAACATTGAGGGTTGGACCCAGTCCGCTACTGATGAGAACTCCGGTCTCGGTAACATGGGGTCTTGCTGTGCCGAGATTGACGTATGGTACGTTCGAAACCAGAGAGAGAGAGAGAGCGTCGCCTAGATTTAGGAGGGGCAAAGTAATAACTAATAATTTTGATTTTCCACAGGGAGTCCAACGCTCATGCGTACGCCTTCACCCCTCACGCCTGCGAGGAAAACACGTACCACGTCTGCAATGGCGACGACGAATGTGGTGGGACCTATTCCCCGGACCGATTCAATGGCAAGTGCGACGCCAACGGCTGCGACTACAACCCCTACCGTCTCGGCAATCACGACTTTTATGGCCAGGGTGCCTCGGGCGTCGACACGACTAAGAAGTTCACGTACGTATCCGTAAAACTCCTCTTGCAGCAATGTCTTCCATTTATTCCTCTACTAACAGTCAAACCTAACCCCTCTATAGCGTCATTTCCCGATATGAGACCGACAAACTCAGCATGCTCTTCATCCAGGACGGCAAGGTCATCGAGGTGCCCGGGCCCAAGCTCGAGGGTCTCGACCACTTCGACAACACCATTACTCCTGAGTACTGCGCTGCCTATCCTCCCCTTTTCGAGGACCACGACCGCCACAACGAGGTCGGGGGTACCCCTGCCCTCAATGAGGCTCTTCGCTTGCCCATGGTTCTTGTCCTCTCCATCTGGGCTGATGTAAGTTCCCCCAATCCTACATTCTGTGAGAGGCATGTTAGCAGTTACTGACGGTTGGTTTTCTTTTTTTCCCTTTCCCCTTCGTGTAGCATTACGCTAGCATGCTTTGGCTCGATTCGCTCTACCCACCGGAGAAGGAGGGTATCCCTGGAACTCTCCGTGGCCCTTGCCCTCAGACAGGTCGTGACCCCGCTGATGTCGTTTCCAACCATGCCGATGCCAAGGTTATCTGGTCCAACATTCGCTACGGCCCCATCGGTTCCACTCATGACACTGGCGGCATCTAGCCTGGAAGCCCGGGTCGGCCTGATGTGGTAGAGATCTAAGACGTCCGCGACAGCCTAGTTGACAAAGAGCTGCTATATAGGTTATTTCTTTCTGTTAGTATATACTTATACGTCGTATTTATACTCTTTGTGGATAGCTCGCTTCGGCAACCTCAATTCAATTCTTTATAATCAATAGCGGTTCTCGATTGCATCTGGAACTCCGTAGTTGTAGAATAACCTCGTGTCGAGGAGTGTAACTAATGTCCACGTCCCTGTCCTCAATTTACCCCTTACTCGGTCCTCGGATGAATATCCAATTCCATCGCTCCCAGGCCCTCGAATGCTGCAAATCTCGGGCCAGGGTGAAAATCTTTTTTCCATAAGAAGATCACGAAGCCAAAGAGGACTGGCACATGGCGCTGGAACCCCGCAGACCCCGAATCATCCGATATTTCAGACTCGTAGTCGCGGCCGATAGTTCTGAAACGTGTGTGGGGTCGAGCCTGCGCGTTGCCCAAGACGATTATTGACAACCCCGGGATGTTTGCAAGACGATTTTTAATCTAGCTAAGGATCGGACGAAAGAGAACCAGGGTTTTCTCCCCTTGCCAGGGTTGCATGCTAAAATGTTGCATTCGCGTATTCGTAGATCCACTGACGCCCGGCGCGAGGCGAATCGCTCGTATCCGGCTCCTAGGCTCCACCTTCGGATGGAAACACCGGCTTTCCGGTTTGTTCCCTTTCAGAAGCATTCCCACATGTGACTCTGTATACTATCGTTAAGCTAAAGGAGTACACTACGGCACTGCCATTGGGGGCGGGAAGGGCGGAATGAGGGGGGATCGTGATGTCTTCCTTTTTTGCCATTGTCCTGAGTCGCGGGCTGAGTTGCTACTGATATTACAAGTATGCCGCAGCAGAGACTCCGACGATATTCCTCGCTCCTAACTTTCTGCTCACTTCCGCAAACTACCGAGGCATAGAATCCCTAGTCAGCTCGGTTTGTTGAAACGAGCAGGCGTCCCGGAAGTTTAACTAACCAGAGATGTCTTGGACATTGGGCAAGACGCCCGACATATCCGATGTCCAAAAGTCGAGATGAATATCCTTCGATCAATTGATCTCATACTAGTTCTATGCGGGTTCTTAATACTACCTTAAATCCAGGGTTGGTAGGGACCTGAAACAAAAGAATCCGGTGGGTCTGATGCCAGGCTACGTGATTGATTGTTTCACCAGTGGACCATTGACAGCCATTGAACTTGGCAAGCCGAAGTGACAGGCCCGTTCTTGTGTCCACGTTGACGAGGTTAGCATGGCTGCATACTCCAATATTGCAAGGATTTTTGAAAGGGGCCCCAATCCACGACCTTTGGCAGGCTTGGCGGGCCCATCGGGCAATTTGGAAACCATGCTAACGTATCCATGTTTCTCAATCATCAGATGGTCAAGACTGGATGGTTCGAAGATGTCTAGATCCTTGCACGCTTCTGCCCCGAATGTCGCCCTGGGCCTTCAACGGTCTGTTTTTGGGGTGGCCATCCAATGGGAACAGCCCGTTCGTCGGAGGACACCAAAATTCCCCCACTTACGAACGGACGGCATTTCCACGAGGCCCAACCCGAGCTGGGTTCTCCATAGCCAACCACGGCGAGAGTTCCCGAGCCTGGGCAGGAGACGTCATGCCAAAAAAAAAAAAAAAAAAAGGGGACTGGACCAGGGCTCGGGCGAAGATAAAAGACAGAACGCATCCTCTCTAGATTTCCTCAGTCCTTCCACACATCACTCTCTCTCCAAGCTGAGCCGCATTCTTTCTTTTCTTCTCCGGGTTTGATGCCACTCTTTCTTCTATAGGCCTTGTGCTATCATACTTTCATTCTTAAGCCTCCATTATCGTCACCTTCACAGAGTGAAGCTGAGACACTCTTTTTTTCAGCTATTACAAGCCATCCACTTCATCAAGTATCTTGCCCTCTCCAGTCGCTTCCGGCCGACTAGTTTCTGTTTCGATTCTTATCCCATTCTCTCATCTTTCCACTATCGCATTACTCAGCGACAATGTCACTCGGAACCAAGCTCTTCCTCGGCTCCCTCGCCGCCACTGCCCTCGCCCACGGAACCGTGACCGGGTTCGTCACTGACGGCAAGTACAACGGCGGCTTCCTCCTCGACTACTACTACGCCAAAGTCAACAAACAGGCCGTCCCCGACACCGCCGGCTGGTACGCTGAAAACCTCGACAATGGATTCGTGGCGCCCGACCAGTACGGCTCGGCCGACATCAACTGCCACAAGAACTCCGCCCCGGGAAACATCGCGGCCACCGTTGCCGCCGGCGGCACCGTCGAGTTCCAGTGGACGAACTGGCCCGACTCGCACATTGGTCCTGTCCTCACCTACGTTGCCAACTGCGGCGGGGACTGCACCAAGGCCGACAAGACCGCGCTCAAGTGGGTCAAGATCGACGAGGCTGGGTATGACGCCGCCACGAAGGAGTGGGCTGCTATTGCTTTGATTAAGAACAATAATACATGGAGCACCACGGTTCCCTCGTCCCTGGCCCCTGGTCAGTACGTCTTCCGCCATGAGATCATCGCTCTCCACGCTGCTCAGTCGGCCAATGGCGCGCAGAACTACCCCCAGTGCATGAACATCGAGATCACTGGCTCTGGCACCGACAATCCGGAGGGCGTCCTCGGAACCAAGCTCTACACGGCCAACGATCCCGGCATCCTTTTCAACCCGTATACGACCATCACCAGCTACACCATCCCCGGGCCAGCCCTCTACTCTTCCGGCACAGGCGGCAGCAGCGGGGGTAGCAACGGCGGTAATAACGGTGGCAGCAACCCCTCGACGCCTACCACAACGGCCGCTGCTTCTCCTTCGCCCTCCCCCACCACCGCCACCCCCCAAGAACCTAAGCCATCCACCGATCCTACCGTCTCTGTCCTCCCCATTCCTTCCACTGGCGCCTGTGCCGAAAGTGGCTCCAGCCTCCCCGAGACCTTCACTCTTGATACTTTCATTACCTGGCTCACTTGCGTTTCCGGGAATAAGAACGCTCGGCGACATGCCCGCGACGTTGCTAGGCAGTAAATGGCTTGGAACACTTTAGCACAAGATGGCTTCTAGACATCACGGTTTTTCCCCCTTTCTCTTTTTGAAATTCTTATGTATTATATTTTCTTTCTTTCTTTGGGGTTGGTCAGTTAGCACCAATGCCCTCGCCTTGAGTTATTGCAAATGGTATTTTTCACTCTCCCGTTCCCCCCATATCAACTTTGGTGGTATATGTACCATGGATAGATGAATCAATTCCATCTTCTCATCAGGAATCGAAGTACTGCTTCGCAAAATATCCTTGTGTCATGTTGTCCATTTTCGCTGATGATAATTTGGCGCACTTCGTAACTGGGGTTGCATTTCACAATGCAGTGTCACCGTTCATGTTACGTGGATTCATTACGCCAAAGTACAAAACAACAGCTTTTATTTCCGTTTTCATTTTCTTCCCGACCTTTCTTGTGTTTTAGCGATTTCTTTTAGAGGCAAGACGTCGAGCATCGCAATCGAGGTCGTATAAGATGGACGGTCCACACACGCTCGTGAGAGGGATCGCTGAATTTAGCAGAGGCCATGTTACAGAGTTAGAAGACGGGTGTTCTAATCCATCCACAGGCAGATAGTGTCGAAATGTGACTGCTTCTCGTTAACCGTTCTTGGGAGTGTCTCCAGGGCCTAGCGTCTTCGGGTTCGTAGGATTTAAATCCGGCTCATCGTATTCGCCCTTGGGGCGGTAGTTATGCTTTCTGTTCGACACTGCAGAGAATCGGTGGCTTCATTGCCTGGCGTGTGTGGTGTAGAGAGAATCTTTCGTGGTGTTGGACTGGACGCCCGCTCCCGTTTCTGAGTGTGCTCTCTTTAGGGGTTCGATTCACCGCGCTCCTTGAGGGCCCTCTCGGCTCGATCCAAAGCTTAATCCAATTCCGCAATTCGCTTTTTGTCCTCGCGCCTCCTCTCCTGTTGCTCTTTCAGGCGTTTCTGGTCCGCTCTTAGGCGTTCCTGGTCCGCCCTCAGGCGTTCCTGGCCCTCCCTCAGGCGTTCCTGGTCCTTCCTGAGGCGTTCCTGTTCCCTCTTCAGGCGCTCTTGTTCCGTTTTTAGACACTCCTGTCCCTCTCTCTGGCGCTTTCGTTCTTCTCTCTGATGCTTGCGATCATCTCTCTGACGCTTCCGATCATCTCTCCGACGCTTAACAGCCTTCTCTTCAATCTGTCTTTCTAGCGCCTGGATTTTTCGGTCTCGGTCTCGTAGCTCCTTTGCCGCTTTTTTACCCCTCTTGTTGGATTTATGTTCGGGGCCATGCCGACGTCGAGGAGGTTGGCGGGTCTGCTCAGCCACTAAGTGACATGAATCCCTCAGAGCATTTACAATGGCGGTAAAAGGTACTCTGATTTGCGGCGTCGCGTGCACGTTCCTGTAGATAGTAGGTACGAGTTAGCCATGAAACTCTTGATTTCGCCAATGCCATAGTGCAGTGGGAATACGATAGAGAGAGAGGAAGAAGGGGTAAGGGACGTACGCATCCTGTGGCCTGACAAATTCGGCTGGCAGATCGACCTCGAGGACCATATCCGACAGGTACAAATCGACGGTGCCCTCCTCCTAAGAGAGCGGCCGCCAATCCATAACTGTCGTTACTTGATCCCCGTCGCCCGGCTTTACGGTCCAGACGCTAATGGCGGAGCGGTCGAGCTCCGCCGCCGTCTTGGCTTCACGATTGGGGCCTCTCGCATAGTACAGATCTACGCAAATTACCGTGCATATCTTTCCCTCTGATTCGGTCAAGTATGATTGGTAATTGAGTAGCTGATGCCGCCGAAAGCTGCGGCTGTAACTCACCTCTCCCACTACGGAAGGGAGAGGCGTTCGCCTACCCCCGAAAGAAAAATCCGGCTCTCGGTAGGAGGCGCGACCAGTCATGACTGGTCGGCCTCCTAGAGACCTCAACGAGTTCGTGACTAGGGCACCAACGACTGGATGGGCCGCGTACTGTTGGAGTTGGTTACTGATTTGCTCGCGGAGTTCTTCAGTCACACCCTCGTGGATGGTACCCATATTTTTGAAATACAGGATTTTGCCGTCGTACGAAAATTTCCCTATCTTACAAGGGATGCCGGGGATTAAGTTGAGAACGTAGTGGAACTCTTCCACAGATAGAATGAAGGTGCGGTCCTCGAGTTGGGCGGAGTCGGAGTCGGACTTGAGGGAGTTGAGGCAGTCGACGAGGTCCTGGAAACAGCCAGACACGGCCAAAGGTATTTGTTTATCCTCGTGCTCAGCCATTGTGACCAAGACAAGGAAGTATCGCGAGCAGCGCTGGAACTTAAGATAATTGACAATGTGAGTTGGATGTTGGATAGAAGAAGAAGACATGCGTTGGTGTTGATGTGGAAGTGAGGTGGATGTGGTAGAAGGAGATATAGAAGGAAGAGAGGAACAACAACGCAGGCGAGGATTTGAAAATTGTTAAATATAAAGGCTCTGGAGCAAATGAGCCAGGATCACGTTCACAATTTACATTGAATGGGGAAGGAACGCTACAGCACCGGACTTAGCGAGGGCTGCTTCCTCTTTCAACTTCTAGTTCATGGGGAAGGAGCAAATCCCATTGATCTTTTTCACTTGCTTGTTATAGCCTACAATAAGATGGTCAGATTTAGAAAGACAGCATTTCACTACTGCTACAAAAACATAGTCTTAAGGCAAGGTCATTCACATTTAGGACTGGTGTTTATTGTTTGCGAGTGAAGTAATACTATTCCCCGATATTGCCTAACTTGACACGCGGCTGTGCCGCGTTGACGAGGTCGATTTACTATTTCAACGGCTCTAGGGAACTCGCAGTCTGGGGACCCGGTGCTCCTTGTGGTATGGGTCGGCTGTCATTCGCAATGGGAACTCTCCTGAGTTGACTTAGTCGAAGGGCCTTGTCAGATCCGAACTTGTCCTGGAGTAGGGAGGGTTGATTCACGGAGGGGTGGTTGTGAGATGGCATGCTCCAGCTTCGAGAGTTCCTGTTGCCTGGAGCAAGCGCCACTCAAACCCCCACAACAACAAACTTCCACTCATTACAAGTGCCACAACGGTTTCCAAGTTTCCGGCGGTACACACCTCGCGGAGCAGTCATGCGCACATTATCGCAAGTGCCGCTCACTTCTGGTAATGAGACTACACACTTGTGCTACTGTCTATCATCGCCGCTTCTCCTCTTCGATACGCAGACCAGAAACGGGTTGTTCAACTCTAGATAGAACGCAGTCGTCTGAAATCTTGCGCCGTATGATGAAAAGAGGGAAGGGTACGGGGCTATTCTCTGACCTGGGCACAATGAATCTCGATCCACGTTCTTTTGGCCCCCGCACGGGGTCGGGCATATCATGAACCTGGAGATATCCGAGAGGTAGCCTCAAATAACATCGATGGATTCTGACACTAGCACAAGGGAGATCCCAAAACGCCCAAGAAACTGCCTCTGGTCATGGGCGAAGACATTGTGCGTTTAGATGCGGCTGGAAACTGAGCTTGCGCTGATCTTAGAGCAAAGGGGGATCGGGACGCAAATTGTTATATCAGAACCGCATCCAACGACTACCGTCATTCTCCTCTCTCCCTCTCTCCCTCTCTCTCTTTTTCATTTTGGTTTTCAATTCAATTTCCAGTGCCGTCTCTATGAGACTAAGGCCTAAGTCACGACGACGGGCGATGGTGGGGTGGTTCTCTTCCAATCAATACGAGTTGTCTTCTTCGTACACGGGTGAGTTCCCATGGAGATCGTCGCTGACCGATTGAGCAGCGCTGGGATCCGCCTCGGATCGTCTGCAGCTGGCCAGTCCTATCCTTAAAGCATCTATCACGTCAAGTACGTTCACTTCAATCTATTGGGAGATCAGCGAGGACACCAGGCAAATAATTCCGCGGAAACCATGACGTCGGACCCCTGGGGCTAGGTTTTCCGTGGCCAGCCGGAGAGGGCATGTCGACTGGTCAGACCCTGGTTCGGTGATGGTCTGGTGAGATCCAATTCATTCCCTCAACACCGAGACCAGCCATACCGAGCATACGATCCCGGACGGTTATGACACCATGCGCGCCGCATTTGGCCCACAGATTTATCCTATTTTGGCGCATTTTGCGTGGTTTGGATCACTTGGATGTGACAGAAAAACTAGTTTGCATGCCGAGTGTTCTCTCTCCGCCCAAAGAGGATACACATCGAGGGTTCGTGGCTGGGCTTACCAGGTCAGGTGGCTCCACAGGTGCATGAGGCGCAATGTGACAAGCTGTGGAGGGCGAGAAGAGGCCTGCGATTTGTCGATTCCCGGCGGCAAGACTATTTAAGGTTATCTAGCGGCTGCACTGGCTGCAGGGAGGATGAAATTAAAGTCTGAAGTCGGGGATCCGGCCCTTGGGTCCAAAATGTATCTTTGCAGCTAAATTATGTATAAAGATACATAAAGCAAATTATGTAATCACATCTGTCAATCCCATGAGAATGGATTCTCCATTTCGGTTGAGTTGCTCCTTCCTCATCCCAATGTACGAAGTACCTGGAGACTTGTACATTTTCGGAGAGTCTCCGAGACATCGAAATCGAGACACCTTCACCCTCTCGCACTTTTCTCGGGAGTCTCCATTTATCAAGGTCAAAGTTTCTGGCACAGTTCCTCATCGTGGTTTGAGCCTGCGTGGTGAGGCAAATCACGTTTCAGAGCTCAATGCGACGAGCCCGAGCCGCCGTCCTGCGCGGATTAACGTTGCGCCGACGGCCACAAACCAATCAGGGCGTACCGATTCAGGAGGCATCGTGAGACTTGTCGATTTTGTGGTCTGTTTGCTGCTTGTCGCTGCAAGGGTCTGTTACTGCTCCACCTCCTGGATCGACCATCGACCGATGATTGGCAAGAAACCCGAAGGGTTATCTGCCTGTCCCATGCCATTGATGTCCTGTCAGAAGGGTCGAGGGACCGGACATGCAGACTGCCAAGGGGGGGAGAGGGGGCTTGACCCAGGGTGGAGGTTAGAAGCGAGGAGAGAAGCAAGGGTTGCAGAAAGTCTAATGCTAATTCTAATTTTGCTGCATTCTCAAAATCTCGCCCGCTCTGTTCCCTTTTCTCCCTTTTTGTCCTTCTTCATCCCATCCTGATCGAGAATCTGCCGGCGGTTCTGTGCATCGTCGAATTCCTCTCTCTCTCGCTCTTTCCTCCCTCGTTCAAGTTTCAATTCTCTTTCTCGGATGCTGGAAATCCACTCTTTGTATATACCTTTCTAATTTTGATTTCTTGCCTTTGATTCCGAGCCCAAACTTGCGACCACTCTATTTTCCAGTCTTTTCCAGAGAAGAAGACAGACGAAGTACCACGACAATTACCACGGCAAATTGAGTATACCAGCCAAAGCACACGGCAGCACAATGGTCTCCCTCAAATCCCTCCTCGCGGCGTCCCTCGCCCTCGCAAGCCACTCCCTCGCCCAACGGACCATCCAGATCCTCGCCATCCAAGACCTGACCCTCCCCGACACCTTCGTCTACAAGCCCAACTCCGTGACCGCCAACGTCGGCGACGTCGTCGAGTTCCACTTCGCGCCCACGGGATTCCTGCCGTCGAACCACACCGTCGCTCAGGGGACTTTCGAGAAGCCCTGCCAACCTATGCCCAATGGGTTCTACTCGGGGAATGTGACTGCGGCGCCTGATACTCCCCTCGGCGAAGCTGTAGGTTCCTCCATGTTGATAAATGTAGCAGGAGGAAGAAGCGAAATGCAGGGATATGATTTGGGGAGGTCCAACAAATATAGAAAGAAGTGAGAGGCTAACCGTGCTTCCTGCGAAATAGGAATTCGTCTTCCAAGTCCAGATCCAGACCACCGATCCCCTCGTATTCTACTGCACCACCGGCCAGCACTGCACTCGCGGAATGTACGGCGTTATCAACCCCTCGTCCAACCGAAACCTCGCCTCGTACAAGAAGATCATCACCTCCCACGGCCCTGCTGGCGTGCCTCCCCGCATCAACGGCGGCAACCTCGTTCGGAACCCCGGCGCCGTCAACCAGGCTGCGCTCGTCGCTGGTGCGTCGACGTCCTCGGCGATTTCGATGCTTGGTGTTGCGGGCGCGATGGCCTTTGCGGTGTTGATGGCGTAGATTTCTAAACACTGGGATTTGAGGATACCGGGAAGAGTCGAAGGTTGACTCTGTCAATCAAGACATGACATGACAATGAGGAGGGAGATGGAGAGAAAAACAAAGAAAACATATATATTCGGTGTGGCAGCCCTAGAGACATAGACAAGGCCGCACCAGGGGCTGTGTTCAAGCGTTGGTACAGGCGGGACCGCTGCCCTGCCTGAGATTATCGACGAGCCATTGCAATTAGTCTGTATATATACATCTATATTCGGTTACACTCTATGGAATAGGATCAAAATTCTACCTCAGTGTCATTTTTGAAGGGGCTGATGGAGAACTAGAAAGGCAAAGGGGGAGAGACAAGAGCAGCCGGGGCGACATGGGAGAGGGGGAAGTGGAAATAAAGCATCATTTCGCATCAGGCCAATCTTAGTTTCTTATATTTTGTTTGACATTTTTTCCCCTCGTTTTCATGTCTCCGTTTTTCTGCCTTGGGTTGACACTCGAATGTGATAAACGGCCAACAGATGGTGATGGCTGTGAAATCCGCTTGACCGTGCATCGCCGTCCAGATGCATTTTTGCTTCACAACGATGTCGTGAGCGGAGCACAGATTCAATCCAAGTTAGACGACACGGACGGATGACATCGGCCACCATCATTAAGCTCAATCGATTGACACTTCTTCGAATTGCATCGGTAGTACTCCCGGCGGGTCGGACCCCCCTCCTGCAGCGTTCCCCAAGTTCGGCAGAATCTATCCGAGTCCGAGGATGGATACCGTGGGCCGGTCCGCTGGAACCATCAGAGGAGAAAATGGCGGAATGCATACTGAGCTCAATCCGACAGACGGAAAATCCTGGCTTCAATCGGCAAAGCATGGAGGACAAGCCCATTGATTAAGCGAAAGGATCGAGCAGGCGAAATGATTTATCTCGAAATACGCAACACACTGAGGAGAGTGGCTCTGCAATATTGAATGGACTGAAAATTATTCGAGCGACGTTTTCCGATGTAAACCTCACAAGACCCTGAGAGGTCAGGGAAAGGGAAAGAAACCACGATAATCCTGGTTCCTTTTTTTTTTTTTTTTTTTTTTTTTTTTTTTGGTTTGGTCTCAATAGGCTTGCTCGTCCTACATCCTGGCATCACTTCTCTGTCGTAGTACTCAATGAAACAGAGAACACAAGCTCATATCGTGAGATCAAATCGCTATTGAGGCGCGAGGATCTTCGCTGCGCGTTGTTCATCCCGAGGCCTTGGCTGTCTCCAGTGGCTGCATTTGCCCGCCGAGCCGGGTGGTAGGAAAATCACAGTCAATACAAAACTTGGCATCGGTCGTCATCGCTTGCATTTTGGGTTCCTTGGCTTTATGACGTGACCTCAACTGCCGGGCACGGCTGGCAATGCTTGGCAGGAACAAGAGGGCGAATTGTTCTGTCCTCGTTGACTTCAGATGCCCTACAGACCACTCCACGAGGAGAGAGAGAGATTATACTCAACAAACTCTTTTCGCTTTTGGAACCAGCCAGGAGGCTTTCCCGGGTTGAACTGACTTCTGAAGTCTCGATTAATAAACGAGGCTCCTCTCAGTTGTTTGTCTCATCTCATTCAAGGAGCTGAAAACTTGAAGCTAGGTTTGAGACATTGATTTGAGTAATTAAGAGACGGACGCCCTGGCTAAACCACTCCTGGAATCCAAATGAGCAGCGTTTCGGCCACAGTAAGTGGAGAGAGGATTGACCAACAGGAAGCCGGCGTGAAGTCCAGGTCAGGGTCGACGGGGGTTTCTGGAAAGCTTAAATCCGAACAGTCACGGTCCGTCTTCGAGTGGGACTCTAGGAGCATCCATTCCTTGTCTCCCCCTCGTTTGCAAATATTGCTTGAGTCCATCCTTTTCCAGCTCTGGTCTGATCCTGGCTGGAGCACTCAGACATAAAACGAGGTCAATAGATCAAGGCCAAGATGGATGCTGTCTTCTTTCGGTAGAGATTGACGCGTGATGTTCCAGAAGCCGCCAAAACGAGACGCGAAAAAACAAGGAAAAGAAAAGTGGGCACATGCAAGTTTCTTACTTGTAATATCCTCTAAAACGAAAAAGCCAGGCTGTCGATGCCCCTGACTATCTTTCTCCGCCCTAGCCACTGGAGCATATTTAGTAGCGTCTTCTTGACCTGGACCCAAGAGGGAATATGAGCACACGAGTAATTTAATGGGTTTTGATAAATGTCGCCTGACCATTGACCATCTTGGGGTCTCACTACTTCTTATCGGATGCCTCGATTCCAAGCTTCTTCTTCCTCCTTTTCTCACTTCTTCCAATCCGGCTTTCGCGGACGGAATCGAGGAAAGAGCGACCCGGACCGACCGGACATCGTCAAATATTTTCTAGCCTCGACTCGATTGATCGATCCAATCCGGCCTTGCACCACCAGCGGCTTTGACAAATGAACTGGAACTAGAGCATAGAATCATCCTCGGATGCAGCTGCAGATGCCAATGCAAATAAGGCGCTAATCAGGATTCTGTCCTGGGGAAAGCGGCCCCCAACATCACCACTGCCACTTCCTCCAGTCACTCGTTCGCCCCTTTTCGCCCCTCGATTTTCTTCCGCCTGGTCGGTCTTTTCCTTCCCGCCTGCCCTCTTTCCGTCTTCATCGACTGTCGTTTTCTGCCTCGGTTCTTTCATTCTCCTTTGCGACGACCTCTTCTCTTCTCGGCGTTCCTTCTTTGAATTAATTCTTACTCAATTTTAATCATCGTCGTTTTCTTCTCTTCTTCACCCACGATCCATTGACTTGGATTCGTCGAATTCCTCGGCTCGTCAACGCCCACTCCACGACCCGGAGCCAAGCCCGCCATGAGCCGCAAACTCCCCTTCACCATCCGGCCGCAAGCCGTCGCCGCCCTCGCAATCTCTCTCCTGGCCACCCTCGTGCCAAGCTTCATCACCGACCTCGTCAACCCCGAACGCCGCCGCCGCCCCCCGAAACTCCACCCGACCTCCTACCTCGACGGCCTCCGAGGCCTCGCCGCCTTCGCTGTCTTCGCCTTCCACTATACCGACTACAACCACAAGACCTTCCTCCCGCACTACGGCTCGAACCCCGAGGCCACGGGATCGTCGATCCTGCAGCTGCCCTTTATCAGGATCATATACTCTGGCACGCCAATGGTGCACGTCTTTTTCGTCATCTCTGGTTTCGCCCTGGCGTGCCGACCGCTGCAATGTCTCTATGATCAATCGTCGACGTCGACTCGTCCCTCGTCTGCTGGCGTCGCCAAGGCCCACGCCGTTCTTGCGTCGTCAGCCCTCCGCAGACCCATCCGCCTCTTCGTGCCCCCGCTCGCCGTCACCTTCATGACGGCCATGATCATCCAGCTCGACTACCTCCACGGCTACATGAAACCCAAAGAATCACTCTTCAAGGCCATCTACGAATGGGTCACCGACGCCTTCTACAACATCACCTGGCCCTGGACCTGGGATGCCGGCTCCATCAAATCCCGCTATAACCCTCATCTGTGGACCATCCCCATCGAGTTCACCCACTCCATGCTCCTCTTCCTCGTCGTGTTCGCCCTTGCGCCTCTCCGAACCGCTCGCGTGCGCCACTTCGCCTTCGTCTGCATCATGGTCTACTCTATTCTCTCGGCGCGCTGGGCTGCCTTCGAATTCATGGGCGGTGCGCTCCTCGCCGATATGTACTGCGCGAAGCAGCATCGAAACAACGACGCCGCTACCCACGACCAACTGACTCTACTTCCTATGCCGACTACTAGCACTTCCCACGAATCCACCTGCGCCACCGCTGCGGCCGCCTTGCTCGATTCGAAAATGATAGCCAGAGTCCCCGTGGCCAAGACCCTCCACATCGCCAAAAACACAACGCGCGTCGCCGTGCTCATCGCCTCGGCCTTCATCATCTCCTGGCCCCCGCGCCGCGGAGACATGACCCCCACCTACCTCTGGCTCGAAACCCTCGTCCCCTCGTCCTTCATCAAAGAGAACAAACCCGAGCTCGCCTCCTCTTTCTGGCTCTCCATGGCCGCCTTTGGCACCGTCTGGGCCAGCGGTCGCATCCGCTGGTTCAAGCGCCTGCTCAACGCTCCCCTGCCGCAGTACGCCGGGCGCATCAGCTTCTGCTTCTACATCATGCAGCATACCATCCTCAATCTCTTGCAACACCCTGTGCTGGGGTCGACCGCGAAGCCTGCTAATGGCGATAAGCCCGGCGAGCCGGCGTGGGGTGTGAGGGGGACGTTTGGGAATGATACGCCCGTTGAGAGGACGATTACTTGGACCGTGGGGTTGGTGATTTTGGGGTCGGTGGTAGTTGTTATGGCGGATTTGTTTACGAGGGTGTTGGATGCGCCGGCTGTGAGGTTGGCGAGGACGTTAGAGGGCGTTGTGTGTCGGATGGATGAGCCTAGGAACGGGGCAATGCAGGAAAAATAGACATGGATATTGCATCTTTTTATTTTATTGTTTGTTCTGTTTCAATTTTCCCATCCGTTGTGTTAATAGCTTGGTCGCCGTACCAAACCACAGCTGAGTTATATCACCATCCACAACCAACCTTTGAGGCTAAGGGCCACTCGATATTTCAACTACGAGACTCTCTCAATAATTTCAAGTCGCGGAGTACCCACGCGCTCCAGAGCCCTGTAAAACCTCTCCGGATCAGCCCAGTCCTCGGGGGCATACACGCCACTCCGCTTAAGTCCATCCTCCATCGCCAATACCATAAACGCCGCGCACGACGTCCCCGTCGCCGTACCCATCGACGTGTAAAGGTACGAGTCCTCCCCAGCCTTGGGCCATCGCTTGGTAATCGACGCCGGAACCCCAGTGCGCGTACCAACCGCACGAACGAGCATGCCGCCCCCCGAGGCCTTGAGGACACCTCGTGCCGCGTTAACCAGGAAACTTAGCACCTGGCCGATCGTGCACTCCCCGGACCAGATCTGCTCCAGCATTCCCCACAACGCGTACCTCCAGGGCGTCAGCTTGCGATTCGCGTTTGCGAGGAGTTGAAACAGCTCCTTGATGGTGATATCCCCACCGCGGAACTGTGCGGTCAGCCCACCAAAGAGCCCCGCCCACCCCGCGGCGGAAGTCTCCTCGTTGAGCACATTGACAAGGAAGTCTATTGCCTCGCTCATGCTCAGGGCGTTCCGCCTCACGGCGCAGCCAATGCCGCGAGCGATGCCGTTGTAGGGCGCGGGCGATAGGCTACCCATGCATCGAATGCGAGAAGCGTTGGGGAATAGGCGGGGAAGGGTGACTGGCTCTGGGTGGGCCGTCTCGTGGAGCAACATCTCGCCCTCACCGCTGTTCATGGGGGCGTACATCGTCTCGACCCAGGACTCGTGAATGGTCGGCCTACCGTTGGCCCAGGTGAGGCACGGGCCGGCGGCGATATGTAGCAAGTGTTCGAGGACGGCTTTGCCGGTTGTGTCGCCGCCCTCCGTGACACTCCAGCAGAGGTCGATCGAGTCCACCTTGTCTAGCTCCTGGGTCACGTCCATCGCCATGACGTTTGACAGGCCAGGGGAAGCCCCGCAGCCGATGTAGCAAGGAACGCTCTCCGCTTTTGCCTTTTCGTGCAGGGCGAGGGCGGCTTGGGTGCTCTCCACATCATCGTCAAAGTCAAGATACGGCACCTTGACCTCAAGGCATGCGGTGAGGACAGGCTCCGAGGTGCGCATATATGGCCCCGCGCCGAGAACGACCAGCGCGGCGTCCTTGATCAGATCAAGGAGGGCGGGTCGATCGAAGAGATCTAACTTTGCTGTCGTGATGCGCGAGGCGGACACATTGAGCTTGGAGGCGACGGTCTCCAACACGGCGGTGTTGATGTCGGTTAGGATTAGGGGTGCGTCGCTTGCTTTCGCGAACCGCTCAACCGCCAGGCGGCACATCTCGCCTGCCGCACCGATAAAGACGACCGGTTTGGGGGGGATAGATGTGGTGGTCATTTTGGCGAGGTATTGAAGGATATGCAGAGTGGGAGGGTAGAAGCGTCCCGGCTAGGAAAAGATCTCACTGGAAGCTGAGGATGGCAAGACAAAGCAGGTCCAAACTAGTGCATGGAAAGGTGCATATATAGATAGATACCGTACCCCCCGCAATCCCGCTAAGCTGTTTTGTGTGTCTTTGCCGAGGCGACTACGTGTGCACAGTCGTATCAGTAGACTTGGGAGGTAGGGCCCAAGAGAGAGACCGCGGATCCGGGGAGAGTTTGGGCCGGTGGGTGCCACCGGGAGTAGCGGGGCATACGGATCCGGATCCGAGGATACCACTCCCTCAGAGGAGGGGTTTGACAAGCTTGATAAACAGTCCTTGGTTTAATTGGTTCATGGAGCTGCTGTCTGCCTCCAGGCAGCTCTGTTGGAGGGCAGACATTCCTACGATTGTGCGTTATGTTGTGCGTTCTGTATCATTGATAATTCTTGGAGTTTGGTCGCGCATGCCAAGCCTCGATTTACCTTTAGTTTACTTCATCTGTCCTAAATGTCCACCGTCCACCCACGTGAGACCTCGTTTGCACGAAGCTCGTTAGTGCGGACCGTCCGGTAGGTCGACCAATAATTCCCGCCACTGTTAGAACCGGAGATTGCTTCAGCACCAGGGGTGGCGCCGACGAGCTGATCTGCATGAGGCGAAGAAAAGTGACCTGATCTCTCTCTTCTGCTGCATAGAATCGTGATCCGCCAGTTCGCAAAAATACCTTGTCGATAGATAGCGCTCCAAACTTGATAAAAGCTTGATGAAAGCTGTTGAGGGTCTCTATCTACCGTGTCAGGTTTAATTTTCATCACCAGCTTATCGAGCTGTCTCCTAGACAGGGTATTTGGTTAGTCACAACGCCATGATTGTTGGAGATATGCCTGGACTCCAGATATCACTGCTTTCCCGGATCCGCGGATCCGGCTCCTGCATTCGCTCATCCGCTGCTTTGGTAACCTTAGCGGCTCGATACCATGTAAATGACACAAAAAGCATTAGAAATCCCCGTTACCCCATGGGGAATCATTAACGCAAAAAGGAAAATGCCCCTAGCTTCTCCGTGCGGTGGGCTCTAGGCACTACTATCGGGACCTTCGAGATAGCAGAACCTGGTCGGCGGAGTATCTGGGGTGGAACAGAGCTGCGGGCAACGAGAGCAGAGCCGAGGTCCGGGCGTCGCCATATCTGTTTATCGTCTTTAATGTGGTTTCTGATACCGGATCTGGCGTCGTGGCCGCAACACATACCTTCGAGGATCTTGGGTACCGTTCTTATCACTCTAGGGTAGCTGTCCCTTTGTCGCCGCGCACCATGACTGGCCAACGGAGAGGGCCTTGCAATGTAATACGGGCCTTATCAAGGGTCTCGCTGAAAGGGCTTTCGTGGTGCGTTTCTAATCTACAATAACTGGGATTGAGATTGTGCTCCTGCGGCCGGCGCTCAAAGTTGACGTTAGAAGTGCAGACCCGGACGATCATCCCATGTTTTTTGATATCCTTCCTCTTTCGACAACCATAGGACGTCTCACAGACCCTGTTCATTAGAATTGCTTTACCTCCGCATGCCCATATGCTGAGTACACAGAGTCAGGGCTTATGATGTACATGGAACGGCTATCTTGCCATCTACGCAAACGGTGGAAGACTTCAACTTCCAAAGTGGCCGCGTGGACGTGTGTGATTCAATGGGAGCAGCACTTTTACAAATCCTGATTCTCTGGAGGTTTGGTCTGGAGTCCTCATCATAATAGCCTTGCACGCACAATGATCGAGTTGCTGGCGCATAATAATAGGTCCTGCTATCATTCTTAGGAGCATATGAACACTGTAGTACCTATCCTGCCTCAATCGGCCTCTAAGATCCTCTAACGATAGCCTATTAAGTGTTTATCCTCTTCGCTCGCACTATAAATCGCGAACCACCTTTGCTCAATGATAAGAGTATCACACCCACCGCTCCCTAGAAACCGAAAGTCGAGTAGCCATAAACAAGACGGCCGTAATAGTCAGCGCGACGCCGGTATAGAGTTGCATCCACAAGTAGTTGGTACCTCCCCCTCTCATGAGCAACTTCCCGGCAATGGGACCAACCCCGAGAACTGCAAAGGCGTTGATGGTAATACAAGTTCCTGCAAGAAAATCAAAAGATCAGCATACCGAAGTTCCTTTAGATCTTGAAAACGCCAATGGTAAGGATAAGGGATACTCACCAGTCCACGCGCCAAGAACCTCTGGAGAAGGAGCCAAGCGAGACAGACAGGGTGAAAAGAGCGCCTGGAGTGCGCCCGACAGGAGGCCGTAAGCCAAAGCCCAAAAGATGATTCCTGCGATGCTCGTCGCACTGATCCATGTGAATGCAGTCACGGCGCAAACGACGCAGGTCAACGAGAGGGCGTTGAAAAAACCGAAGCCGAAGTCTGCGATGAAGCCCACCACATAACATCCAAAGAAGGCTCCAGCATTTATGATCGAAGCGTTGTAGAATGAGAGCGATGGGGACATCCCCATCTCCATGGCATATGGCGTGATGAAAAACTACGGAAAGCGAGGAGAGAGTCAGCTTTGTAAGAAGATAGAGGCGGTTGATGTCGTTGGTATGGGATCCTACTGACCCATGGGACGTAGATGCCCAGATTCATGATTACGAGGCCCACGGTAAAGAGAACAGTGCGCTTGTCGATGAAGTATCTCTTCAAGTGGAGCGGCTCGCGCACAGTGCTTCGAGGGAATCGGGGTTGGATCAGGAGAGTGGCGGCGATCATGAGCCCGAGCTGCATGAAGGCGATGATGCGTAGGGTCCAGCCGATGGAAATGCCTTTCTCGTTGAGGAGTTTGTTACCCACGATGGGCCAGATGACACCTGGGCGTGGGAAAGTAAAACACACAAGTTAGCTTTCGGCGCCTTTGTGGATTGTACCATTGAAGTCCATGGTGATTTGATTATGCGCACCTCCTACATTCTGGCCCGACATCACCGTTCCAACAACCAATCCGCGACGCTTCATGAACCACTGTGACTGAACTGCGAGGGCTGGCGTAAAGGCTAGACCCATGCCAAAGGACAGACAAAGTCCCTGTGACAGCAGGACTTGGTAGAACTCGTTGGCCAGCGAGGACATCATGTTGCCAAACACCATGAAGAACGTGCCCACCGCCATGGGCAGTGTTGGTCCGTACCTGTCCGACAGCCGGCCGGACCACATACCGAAAAAGAAGCACCCCCAGCCCTGGATGCTGCCGATCCAGCCAATGTTGGAATGACTCTGCTCGGGGAATCCAGTGGTGGCGTAGTAGCTCTGGAATATGGAGCCCGCGTTCAGGAAGCCGATGGTAGCGATGAAGGAGATGAAGCCTCCCAATGCCGTGAGCCAGGCGCGTATCCCGCCATCAGGATAGTAGTGTTCAATTTCATCATGAGTGGGTTGGTCTTCCTTGACAGAGTCAACGGGGGTCCCCTTGGCCTCAGCCTTCTCGCTGTCGATGGACATGGTGGGAATCAAAGAGACGAAACACGACGGATTAGCCTGGTGTCAATGGTAAAGAGAATAACAGGCGGGCCCTTGGTTCTCTTGTCATTTTCATCTGGTCGTCGACGATAGTTTTATAAGACTCAAGATCCTCTCCCATCCTCTCTTTCGCCCCAAAACCCACAGATAGAGGCGACGAATCCCAATTGGCGGGGACAATCCTGGGGTAGACCACCCCACATGATAGTTTCCAACAGTGGTTTGAAGGTTAATGTTCTGATCCTAGCTAGAAGGCCGAATCGAGATTAGCTCGAAGGCCTTGAGCCGCGGATCCGCGGCTCCGCGGCTCCCACCACCAGTCGCCGAATTGTGATGGTCTGCTACTTTAGTCCCAACTCATCACCCTCTTTGCCCCCCAACCCCGATGCTACCCCCTCTACTGTCTTATCCAGTTTCCCCCTCATCACAACAGCAAGATGGCGTTCCGATCTGTTGGTGACTACTCGCATGAATTCGACGCATTATACAACGAGGACGATGATTGTTCGGTACTGGCAGGCCAGCTCCCTCTCGCTCCGCCCATCGGCCACTATGCATTCAGTGCCACAACAGTGCCCAGCGGCTCCGAGATGAGGCTCGTGTCCAGCTATTCCGGCTACATCACCCCATTCACTAACCCCGAAGCGGCGGATTGGCCAGAGCCGTTCGGATCAGCTCCACCGCCGCGACCGACCAGCCCAGGGACGACCACGAATGCCTGGGTCACCAGTGGAGACGCCAGCGAATTTCGGAGGCCAGGTGTTCAGGCTCTCGAGCAAGACACTAGTGTAGCCGCAATCCCGCCTAATCATCCAGTGCCCCGAACCCTGAAGCGTCCGCGGAAGCAGAACCATTCATGTGACCCCTGTCGTGCAGGGAAGAGGGCTTGTGACCTGCCGCCTAAGATGGTGATTCAGGATAACAGACCGCTGGCGACGCCGTGTTCTATGTGCAGGATGCGTGGTGCGGAATGCACTGTTACGTGGTTGGCGAGCAGACAACAGAATTCACGTCCTAATCCGAAACGAGCCAGCCCGGGACCTTCCTCACAGTTAAGTGTAAAATCCTCGTCCAGGAGACGATCGGTGACGGGGAAAATCACAGCGAATGAGGCTTGCATCCTTGGTGCAGTCAGCCCGATTTCCAGCACGTCGGAGCAAGTCTTAGTCCGACCAGTGGTACTACGTGAGACTTGTTCTCAGCGCCTGTATCTATATATCGACATGGTCGATTCGCCGCTAGTTAAGTCCCTGTCTCAAGATTGCATCCCGCCATGTTACTCGTCCGGCATGAAGGCACTCTCAGACCTGAGTAGTAGCCGACAGTTAGCGCCATTACTTGATCACGTCCTTTCAAGGGTCAGCGACTGTTGGCAGATTCATCTTACCTCATGGTCCTCACCATCACCATCACCTACACCGCATCTCTTCCTCGCAGTGAGCCTTCTGGATGCGTTCCTGCAGCAATCCGGTTTCACGCCTAGCTCTGCATCATCACGAGATACAGCCCTACACGAGACATGCAAGTGGGTCGCGATTGCTACAGCTTCCCAGCTTGCTGTCCACAAACGAGACGGAGCAGGAACTGGTTCAGAATGTCCCCAGGCTTGGGACATTGCTTTCGAGACCTGGCAAAAAGCAAAACGATTGCTCTTTGAAAACATCGCCGCCACTAAATCATTCCGCATGGCACTTTCATTACTCCTCTTTGGTGCCATACTGCCTCCAACTGGTGGGGACCGCGGCAGCGTATTCGAGGAAGACACGGCGTACGCTCAGCGAGAGGGCCTCCAGCGTCTCCAAGGGCTCTGTTCTGAAGCGCATGCGTACTTGCACAAACGCAGCGGTGCGCCACGCGATTCGACGCCTCCGCCGGGTGGAAGCCCTCGGCCGGTCAAAACACTACAACCCGACGTGCGGAATCTAATATTCGAGATAATCGGTGGTCTCGAGTGGCTTGTGACGATGGCTCACTCACCGGCAGTCGTCACCTCCCGGACGAACATCCCCATCGCCACGCCTCTACTCTGTTCCAAAGAAGTTGAAGAATCAATCATCGCTCGGGCTCGAGCCGATTCACACAGCGTCACTTCAATGTGGGACCGAGGCATCTCCGATAGCATCATGGCTCGTGTCGTAAGCCACGCTGGCTCTATTTCCGTGCTCGTGTGGAGGGTGTTGGCCCTGTTGACCGTGGTAGTCGAGGGGTTGGAGACGGACGGGGTCGACTGCGAGGAGTTGTATCGCCTTTACATAACAATGACAACCCTCATCGACATATGGAGGTCGAAGTTTGGCCTGATAAATCAGACGAATGCAAAAAGCCTGCAACAGTCACGGCCTGACGTACTGCGTAGCGTTTATTTTTGTTCTATGGATGTCGATCTTGCAATACTACTGTTCTACGACCTTGTCCACCCGCTCGAGACCCAACTTCAGACATTATCATCGCCATCACCTGCACACGAGCGCTTATGTTCTTCTCTCCAAGCGGGAAAAGCGTATCACAAGGAGCAGCGCCTTACAAGTGCGATGCAAATCTCTTACGTAGCCTTGGCAAGTCAAGGCATGTCAAGTCCGGGGTTACCGGGCAAAAGCGGTCTCAAGGAAATTATCCAGGATATTGGTGCCCACCCAGTAAGTTCAACGATGCCCCTCGGTGCAACTATATTCCTCGCGGCTAACGGAACTGCGCAGTATCTTGCTCTAGGTGTACAAGCACACCAACTAGCCGCTAAAGCACTGGCAGACGAGATACAATATTGCATTCAGGAGATGGACATGAAGCGCATCCCGGAGCTGACGGCCGGCCTGGAAAGCTGCATGCAGGGGCTTCAACGGCAACAGAAGACGCTTGTGATGTTTCCAGGGATGGCCCTTGATGGTCCAAAGCGTGTAATTTAATCTATACTTATGACCTGGCCTTCGTATCTCTATACCCCCGAAGGCAAATCATTCCAATGGGGAGCTGGCTGGCTACATGTAAGGGGAGTTCTATCTACACTCACAGTCCGAGAATGCTCACCCTACGTTTATTTTCATCACTGGTAAATTAAAGGAGTGTTATTTCTTGGTAGGAGGCGGCAGTCTCTCATTCTCACCTAAGAGAACAGCGATTCTTCTTCCCCCTGTATTTGCGACCAGCTGTCGATATCCTGCAGTTTTGGTAATTTTTCACGAAACAAGCACCATAGCGGGCTGACGGGGTCTTAGGGACTATCGGGTTCAAAACATGAAGTCACATACCCAGATTGGGTCATAAACTTTACTCTTTGGTCCGAGACTTCGAACCCCGAAGATCGTGTGAGGCAGATCTGGATTGCTTGATCTGGCTGCGCAACAGGATCACGCTGCTCCCACGTGACTTTCATATTTCAAAAATCCCAAGCTCTCCCAGTTGCAATTGGGTGCGACTCACAGGTTCAGGCTTCCAGAGAAACTATACGAAGCACGATCGCCATATTTAACGATACCCTTATTAGCGGCGTGGATCATCATCACCAAGATGGTCGATTATATAGTTATTATGGTACGGGCTTTTAGCGCTGATCCCCGCAGGATAGGCTCGAGCTCAGCGACGACTCCGACGTCGAGGTCCATCCCAATGTCGATAAGCGGTCATTCATAAGGGCGAAACAGAACCAAATCCACGTGGAACGGCTCCAACGAAACGACAAATCGAGGCCCTCAAATATGAGCGAGTCATAAATGACGAGCTCGCGCGGCGTATATCCGCCTTGCTCTCAGCCCTCGAGTCGCACACCGAGGAAGCCCGCACCCACGACCCGACAGCAGTGGCCTTTCGGGCTCTCATGCAGTCAACGCCGCGTAATGGCGAGGATGACAACCCTCCGCCACGACCGGAAGGGCTGTTTGATGGGGACGAGCCGTTGCCCACTTACTCCAAAATGGTGGCCAGAATTTTGGATGAGGTGAAGAAGACGCTGGACGAAAAGGGAGTTGAGGTGGAAAGCCGCTATGATGCCATGATCGGGGTGATCAAGGTTAATCTCCAAAAGATCAGGGAATTGCAGAGTGAACTGCTGAAGAAGCTCGACAGGTTGGAAGCAGAGGAGACAGAGAAAATCACCAGTGAAGACTACCACGTCGTGTTCGATAGCTCCAATGTCAGCAAAGCAAAGCCCGGAGAGACCAAGCAAAGGACGAAACTGGAGCTCCTAAACCCTAATTACGACCTTCGCGACATTAACTCCGATACCATGCCTCCATCGACGACAGGCACGACAAAGGAGAGCGACGAAGAAGTTATCAATAAAGCCTCTGCGGCAGCGAAGCAGTTTGCACAGATAAAGATATCCGACTATCAGGCCAGCCGCGCGTATCTCCTTTCGCATCCCGAGATACTCCGAGAATCCGAAGTTGACGGCCTACTCATCGAAGCATTCGACGCTGCGCTCGACCGCCAAAACCTGCCCCAATCCCGGCAGTACGTGCATCAGGCAACTCTCTTAGACTACTGCCGGAGGCTAGGACGTGATGGAATGGCCATCTTTTTCAAACATGTCACCACCCCTGGTCACAAGGCGCGTGAAATGTTAGAGAAAGATACCAGCGAAAAATATCAAAGGATCCTGGAGCTAGCAAGAGATACTGATAAGCAACGTGCTTCTGGGGGTGGAAGAGAGGGCGTAGAGCAGATCCAGATCCATCCGGTAGAGCCAGGTGCCTCCATCCAAATTCGGATTCCTCAGGAGGGTAGCGAAATCGAGGAGGTTAAGAGGGCCAGATCCATCTTTGACAGCCTCGCACCAGAGATGCGGGCCGCTCTGGAAAGCGGATCGTTGGAGGAGGTAAACAAGGTGTTGGGGGCGATGGCGGTTCTCGAGGCCGAGGTCGTAGTCGGCCTCCTAGGAGAAGTGAGTTTGCCCTACCGAGGTGCAGCGATGTTAAATTGATGCCACCTTTTCTTCCTTTCTTTTCTTCTTCCATCACTTTACTAACTAACTGCTCCAGGCCGAATGTCTCAGCATTGAGCAAGACATTATCGATACGACGACGGATGAGGGAAAGAAACAGCTACAAACGCTCGAGCATAAGATGGAGTCAGATTAAGTATGGCAGTGTGGTACACTCGGCCGTGACGAGGTCCAATACCCCGGGGTATCGAACTGCGTTGAATGGCCTTCTGTCCTTCGGTCATCGTGATCACATCAAATAGTTTCACACGTGCAGAAGGACGGAAATTGTCATATTGACTCTGTCGAGTTCTTCGCTTGTAATATCTAGCCATTCCTTGGACGAGCCGTTATTTTAGGAGGATAAAGAGAGTAAATATCGCGTTCCAAGTTATTTAGTGGGGGAAGGGACCCTGAAGTGTTGTCGACTCAAACTATTTTCACACCTTGTTGCGTCGATCTGATCCTCTCACCACTCTCGTTTCCTTAGACTATTAACAGATCTGGTCGCGTTCTGAAGAAGGAAATGAGAGTTTTTAATGATTACACCCATAGTTCATGTGTCGCTGTCCTGGCTTCCTCTATATAAAACTAAAGTAAATTTTTAGTTATATTGTCTTTTTAAGTAATTACGATTATGGGAGCGATTGATATCAATTGTCCCTCCTATCCTCTGATCGTTATTGTGTGCTAGCTATCTGCGGGCAGCTGCCCGTAGCTAGGTGTTTCTGCTGTATGCTATTGTTCTGGACCTCTACAAAAGTCGACCCCTGACAGTGATCAAGGACTCCCTGCCAGAAGAGAGTTTGTGCGCTCCTATATTACACTTGTACAAGGTACACAATAGTTATTTGCAGAGGAAGGCAGGTCTCATTCCTAGAGATGTTATTGCTTATAGGTTAGTAGGAAATGTGCTTAGTCTCAAGGTGCCGCCTTTCTAGAGGACATAGTTCGGACGCCGGGGACACCTGGAGCCTGGGGAACTTAGGGTTAACGAAGACGATGCGGGTCCATATTAGCTCATATTATTGCCTATCAAGTAGTTTACATGAACCTCAATCTCGCTATACGCAGAGTGCTAAAACACTTGCAGAATCAGTAAATAGTCATCTCTTATATTAAGAAAAAGAAAACTTCAAACACAGCTTGTACACAGCACTCGTGCACTTCTCGAACTTCCATGCACGTAGTCAACTAAGCTGTAGTGGTTAATTGAAGAATCAAATGAGCTCAAAGGTGGTCTGATGTCTTTCAGCCCAAAAGCTTTCGTCGAACTTGACTCCAGGACCGTATGGGCCATCCATTATATCGCCAGAGCATACAAATTGATAGCGGTGGTTGGCCTTGCGTATAACACTTGGCGTGGGCGATCCTTTGAAGAGACAGACCAGGTCGTCCTCATGCCCTGCATCTTCCGTCAAAGTCTTGACGATTGTTCCATCCCCAAGAACAAGCCAAGCATAAGTAATATCACTAAGGAGTAAAAGCTCGTTAACAGCCTCCCATTGTACTTTGGAAGCAGATTTCTCCTGCTCTAGACGATCAATTAGGCCTCGGTAAGCCGACTGGCTGATATCCACACCTGTAAAAGAAAGCCAACGGCTGAGTGTGATTTCGACCGATGTTTGCCTGAGGTTTGCAGACCGACAAAGAATCTCGTTTTCAAACAATCTGAAACGGGCAAGTAGCGAGGAAGCGACGAGTTTGCAAGTCTCTGAGCAGAGTAGACTAGATCTTTCGCAAGGGGGAATTCGATTGTCACATTTCCCAATCGTGAACCCCCGGACTGATAAAACTCGCCCATCCACCGAAGCAAAGGCTCTGCATGACTTCCAATGGTTTTCGCTGGACCCTCTAAGATATCGGAAGTCGGTAACCCATGACGGCACGCCTTGCAGCTCGGATTTGGCAAAGTCGAGCAGTCGTAGGTCTCCTGTCTGGTTGAGAAAATACGTTGCGTATCTCTCATAGGCCAGCTCGGTTGTGGTCGTATAATCTGGTCTCAATGACTCGGGGAATTCTTTATCCTGGGCCACTCCAACGAGACCTAGGAGTCCGTATAGTTGATCCAATGGGTCACTAGCCCTGTTCCCATGCAGCCGGTATAGAAGCTGAAGGAAAAACTCTGCGGCGCTCGTCGAGGTGTCTTGCAGTCTTGCCCGGCTACCATCTTGGGTGGGATCAGCATGACGCAAAAGCTGGCGAATGCTCGCCAAGGCCAAAACGCTGAGGCAAGGCCCAACATAGTGGGGGTTCAATAGTGCCCAATGTGAAAATAACACAGCTAGATCCTGCATTGCTACCCAGTGGCGACCAGCCCATAGTATTGGATCTCGAGCTCCAAGACAAGCCTCTTGCACAGTCCATATCCGGCTAAACCACGGTCGCCCTCCTAAAGCAGCGACAAGCCCCATAATCTCATCCGGCTCGAGATCATCGTCATCGCTGTCGTCTAGCTCGCCGCCTTTATCCCACGAGACCTCATTCACCTCAATGGCAACCTGAGTTTGCTCTCCAGAACCAGAGGCCGAGTCACGCAAAACGTGATCAGTTGACGATCGAACCGAAGCTTCGGCAGTCGCTATTCGGAATAATTGCCCGATGCTCCGGTTAGATCCCTCATCACTTACACCCAGCCAAATAATGACTTGGCGTGACAAGGTATAGATATCGGTCATGCGTGTCACTTGCTGTGACCTTTCATGTATGTTCTCTTGGTTGATACATATCGCGTCAATCCAGATGAATGGAGAAAAGTCCGATTGGACGTAATATCGCCTCAGGTGACAAAGAGCGTCGTGCAGGTTCTCTCCGACACCAAATCGTTGACCGTTGACCAGAATCGATCTTGTCTTTGAGGGATCGCCCCAGACATAACTTAACGCATAGAAGTCAGGCCTCGCGTCTAGCCCAACTTGTTCGAGATCGCATTCAATCTCTGTGTCAACGCCCCCAGCATGGATTTTGAGTAGTCGAATATCCGAGTCCACGAGCTCCTGATATAACTGAGATACATCTTGGTCGTTGTACAGACGTTGTTGAGACATGTCGAAGACGCTTGACCATTGGGACTCTGTGGATTTAGATTGAATGGTGGCCCTTCCGATCGTTCTTCTAGGTTCTTCACGTTGCTGTCTTCTGCTTGGGGGGGATGCTGCGATGAATTACTGCCCGAGTTGGCGAGAGCTGAGGTCCGTAAACGTAGGAGCACATATATTTATGCAATCTTAGGTAGGATGCATCAGTAAGCTTCGGACCTTTCCTGGCCTATTAGCTGGTAGTAGTGCTGAACCCAAGGCCAGTCTGCCTTTTTGTCATTCGTCACAGATCAATGCAGCCATGCCCAACACTGAGAAAGTTGAAGCCCATAGTGTCGGTGCCGACCTTGCACATGACGAGGGTCTTCTGTCTTCTTCCTCTGAGAACAAGAGCTCTTCTGATGTTGAGCTCAGTGGAAAAGGGATAAGACGTCTCAGGTGATATCATCATCTGGCTACCTCTACCTTCACCTCGTTTTGGGTTTGGACCTAGAAGACTTGCTCTTGCTTATATAGGCCTAGAAACTAGTTTGTCACTCCCTCTATCTATATCAACAGCAGATTGGTTGTAACCTGTGGTATCAATGGTATTAGGCATTACAATCCTAACACTGGATCACACTTAGGTCTTCTGAGGTTAGGGTTGTGGGTACCTGTTCAGTAGGATAAGCGAGGCAATCAAGCAGTATTGTCATGACATTTGTGAGAAGTGCGCATTCAAGTGTAGGGTGTAGTTGTTACTTGAATTGACTACTGAAGAGTCTGGAGGAACTTCTAAATGCATTGGAAACCTTGTAGTTTATAAAGGCTTCCCCTAAGCCTCTTCCCTTAGTCGGCCGCGCCCAAGTTTGTCTGCTCGGTTGGTCTTACCTTCGACCGACCTGTCGAGCTTCGTTCCGACCGATCAGGTCGGACTTGGTCCCGTCCGTCTATTCCTTTCTGCGTGTGATTCTCTTTTCGTTTTTCTGCTGTGTCCCACCACCGCCTTCCCTGCGGCCCAAATGACGACCAGGTCGTGGCAAAGAATAGTAGAGGAGAATATCGTAGCCTATGCCACGGACTGACTGTTTTGAAGACCGCAGGGTAGCCAGAGGCGGCAGAATCAGAAAACGGGAGCCTGGGCAGCGGCACATGAATTACACTGGCACTAGACGGATTGAGTCGTCCGGGCCGTGGCGTGGCAGCATCAAAGCACGACTATTGGCTGATATTGCCTGCTACCACCTGCTATTCCGCCTCACTTTGGGCATTTTCCTCGTCTTCCCTCGCCTGCACAGTCTGACCTGGCCTCTGCGACGCCCAATCAGAATACTATTTGGATGGCGGCATGGCTTGAATCGCTGCGTGATGGCGTGGCGCAGCCCTCCTCACATTTCGAGAAATAAAGGCGTTACCGTGCCCCAGGACCATCCGGTCGACCCCCGCTCGCGTGCTTCGTCACGTACAAGCCAAAACCTCCGTACGGTACCGCCTAATTATTTGACGCTGAGCGGGATCTGTCGCCTTCAAAATGGAGGCTGCGGCAGCGTTTGGCCTGGCGGCTAATGCTATGCAAATGCTCGAGTACGCCGCCAAATTGATCAAGACTGCCAATAAACTGAGGAGCCACGTGGGCAGCCTGCCTGTTGGAATGCAGGAAATCGAAGCCACGGCGATGAGTCTGGTACAATCGGTCGATATCGTTGCGCAAAAGTCGAAAGATGAGCAGGACCAGGGCCTAGCTACCATATGCGACTCCAGCCTTTCCCTTGCTCGGGAGCTGCTGGACTTGATGGGAGCGGCGAAGGCAATCACGAGTAAGAGCGGCGGCAGCGGCGGAACGACGAATATCTTCCGGGGCACATTTCGGGCCATTCGGATCGAGAAGGAGGCGAGCCGGATCCAGTCTCGGCTATTGTATTTACAGCAGCAGCTAAGTCTCCATCTTACAATCCAGAACAGGTAGAGTAGACACTGTCCCGGGGGTTCCACGGTTCCTTATTATAAATTAACAAATCTTGATAATACAGGCGCGATCAAGGCGAACTGAAATCGAGTTTGGACAGCATCACAGGAAGGGTATTCAGCATCGAGGAAAAGATTGACTCTTTCATATTAACGCGAAGCGGAGAAATATCCATCACAAAGCAACCACTCATCGAAAGCCCGGAGGCCGAAGTTGAGCCCGAAGTTGAGGTCGACTCCGAAGGTGAAACTGAAACTAAAGCTAACGAGGAAGTTGGGACAGTAGAGTCGGCCCTGCTATCACCGACCGAAGCAAGAACGTCGAATCCATCGCACATCTCCATTCGCTCGCCGCGCAGATTTCGATGCCAGGACCCTAGCTGCGTTTGCTCCTGTCACCTGAACCGGTACTACAAGACCCCTCTCTTCCTTAGGGGGCTGATCGGCGCGTTGAAGTTTCGCGGTAGCTGCCGGAATCATCCGACCGACTTGTGGGAAGTCAAGTACTGGATGCCTTGGTGGATAGCGAACTACAACGTGTACCTCCTGTTTGAGAGAACGGCGTCGGGGAGCCCGTCCCTGGGATTGAAATTCCAGAGAAGAGTGGATTTGTCGGAGCCTCTGTTGTATTGCTCATATACACGCAATACCAAGGGGGTTAAAATGGCACTCCAAAATCCCGTCGTGTCACTCGACGATATTCACTTCAACGAGGGCTACACTGCTTTGCATGTTAGTAAAACCCTGCCACCCCAAATCCGTAAGTGCAGTGATATGCGTTGCATAACCGTCCCTGGGGGTTGTTATTAACACACGATGGCATCAGCTGGCGATAATGGGAGGTCACCAAGAAGCTTGCGAGTTGCTGGTACATAGAGGCGCGGATAAGTTCATCGAGGACGATTATTCTAGGTAGGGCACTTTGTCCATTTTTGAATTCCCCCATCTGCCAATCCGAAAGTAACCAGTTCACTTACTAGCAGCTCAATGCCAGGTCGCCGATGCATCTAGCGTGGGAGCGGATATTTAACGGCCGGGGCCACGCCCAGATGTTGGACTGCCTCCGTCAGCTCTTCCCAGCAGAGGACTTCGACGACTGGGGGTTTTCGCCACTGCATGAGATAATCTTGGGCCTCTCCCATCTCCTGCCGCCCGGCCTGTCCCGCCTCGGCAGGAACCTCGACGTAAATTGTCGTGATGCCTTTGGCATGACCCCCCTCTGCTGGGCGAGCTCTCGAGGCGACGTGGAATCTATGGAACTTCTTCTAGATGCCGGTGCAGATGTCGAAGCAGCTGACTCGAGGGGAATGACTCCTTTGTTTTTTGCCGTTAATGCATACGCGCCACAGCTTCGCCCCCTCGAGCTGTTGCTTCTTAGAGGGGCCAATCCAAATCATGTCGACCCGAACGGTTACACTGCGCTGCATTTTGCGGCCGTTAACGGCACCCCCTTGGAACTCGTCAAGGCTCTAATTAATGCGGGAGCCGACATCGACGGGGGAAGCCGTTTCAATGGAACGCCCCTTCTCCTCACCGCTGGCGCCAATTGTGTCGAGATTGGAGAGTTTTTGCTCCAACGTGGTGCCGACAGATACCAGGCGAACAAGTGGGGACGCACGCCCCTTGTATCCGCTGTCTTGGAAAACAGTGCCGAGTTCCTAGATATGCTTCTCGAACATGGGACTGCATATGAGCGCATCGATCAGGGTGGCCGCTCGATCCTACACTATGTTGCAGTTTCGCAGCATGTAGAAATTGCACGGGTTCTGATCGCTCACGGCATAACTGGGCTCGATACCGAACTGAAGAACTGTAACGGCTTCACAGCAATGGATTTGTTTTGGATGCACGGCACTGACACTGATGAAGACTTCAAGGAGGCCTTCTTTCAGCTTATGTCCATGCTCGACCCAAACTGGAGCACCCCGGAAGGAAGCATCGTGGAGGAGGATGACTCTGAGACGGATGAGGAATGATATGCACACTCTCCAAGGCCACGATGTCGGTCGGACTGGCGGACCACTGCACTCAAATTGACTTGGGTTCCGAATCAGGTAGAAGTTGTCCTCAAATCAACCAACAAGCCGCCCTGCCATTACTGAATTACCGTATCACGACAACGGAAGTCAGCTGCGAGTTTCACCTGAGGCTGGCGAGCCATCGTCAGTTAGATTAAACGTCTCGGGGGACCTCATCCCACTGTGTGCATGCACCGCGTCGCACCTATCGGCATCTCAAAGGGCTTGTCGAAGTTTCGTCCGATGCGGGAGACACTGGTGCTTAATAAAGCTCCGAGTATGCATTCGGAGATTTCATATACCCGACTTACTTCTGGTGTCGATGCGAGCATAGATGGGGGAAAGATAACTTGAGCAGGTAAGCTGGTTACTATGGCGGAGGCGCACGAGAAATACTCAACGAAGACTCTGTATAATAGATTATGAAATTATTATGAATAAAACCTAGGGAAAAAGATTCCAAGGAACAAACAAAATAATATCAACACATCGTATGAAGTTCTCAATTCACTTTACATGCCCATCACTTGCATCGACCTCCTCGCGGCAGCTCCTCGCCACGAGATAGCACCAACACGCAATACAGTCGAAGGGTGAAAATAAAAGAAATTCGAAGCGGACGGGTGGCTGTAGAATTGCAAGGTTAGACACGAAGGATGGAGCAGGTTGGGCCGGGTTATGTTGGCCCGGACTTTATACACTTCATACACTTCGGCATCGCCACAGCGGCGTTTATGCTCTTCGATTCCAATTTCCGATTTCCCCCACCGCCCCTCGATCTGTAGAAAGATGGATTCGGTTGGAATTCAATCTTTGCATAATAGAATCCCTGCTCTGAAGCTGGCTGTCATAGCGACCTTGAGGGCGGGTGAGAGATGAAGGCGTTGGACAACTCAATATCCTGCAACCAGTTTCATTAGAACCTGCAGCATATCAATTGATATTCATAGCTTCTTTATCACACCAATGCCTCTTTCAAGTCCTTTTCATTTTTTTTTTTCCTCTTTAGCTTGAATGTCTTTTGTATTGCTAGAATGTCCAACTTCTAAGCTCCTCTTAAAAGATCTCTAGTCCCAGAAATTTCACAAGCCCAGCCCGGCCTGCAAAGCACATCGCCTGTCTCTCATATACTATTATCACATTCACACGTCCACCAGAGTTAGTCAAGTTTTTTAGGCTCCCCAAGTAGTCTTTGAATATCACATGCAATCCTACCCAGTAGAAGCAATGTGCTTTTTCTAGACTCTGAATACGAAAGAAGATCTAGAGAGATGCCTACTCTGCTATGCGGCAGGCCAACCTCATAGTGGGCGGCCCAACTTGTGGGCCGCACAAGCACTGCCTGGACAAGGCCATCTTGTTGGGTCGAGATCTGGGAAAGAAACACCTCCGTCTCGGTAGCTCTTGCCAATTACTTTTTCTACTTGGTATTTTTTTCTATCCTGAGGAGACAATGGGACAGTGAGGGAAGGAGCCATCCAGAGCACAAAATCACTCGAAGAACCAACCCACAATTTTCCTTCCACCCTCTCCCTCTCTTTTCATCTCGTCTTCATTTCCCATTCATCTCCTCTTTTCCGTTTTCTTCTGTTTGCTTCTCCCCAAACTCTTGTACGTCATTCCGTAGACTTTCCTTGCATCTCTTCCTTCTCCCCTACCTCCTTCCTTCGCTTCTCCCGCCTGCGTTTTCCCCGGTCGAACCCCAAAACACAATAAACACTACAGCCCCAGAATTTCCCTCCTTTTGCATCTACCCATCTCTGTTTTCTCCTCTACATCTGTCCGCCAAAACCATCTCTGGGCATAGAGCCCATATCGACGGTCATGGCCTCCTGTTCCGAGCCGTCCCGCAAGTGGATGTACTTGATCAACCACGTCTTTCTACCTCCCAAACTTCCCCAAGAAGACGACACGAGCGGGCCTTTCGAAGAGAACCTCATCCGCGAAGTTCTTGCGGCCTTGAATGACTTCAGAGGTACCCTCACCGACGCTCCGGCCGACCACGTCGCCGCCCTCAACGCCGTCGCAGACGCCATCACGAATCTCCGAGGCGTACACAACTTTTCCATTCCGGGAGAAGACATCACCGTCAATGGCGAAGCGCTGCAGAGAGAACTGAGTCTCCTCTGCAAAGCAGGTAAGCGCAAACACGTTCAGAAGAATACCTCGAAAAGATTCATGACCGACTGCATCAACGAAACGCCGGCTACTAATGTTTGATCCAATGCAGATGCCATGCACACGATTCCTCTCAAGGTCGCTGTCCAAAATGCAGGTCTCCTCGTCTACCGCCGCGCCGACATCGCCTACTTCGAATCCTTCGAACTCTCTGCCCAAGCCCACTCAGTGACGGGTACTCTCGGTCGTCTTGTCTGCGCCTTCCCCGGAGTCGCCATCGCCATCCCCGTCGATAAGCTCCAGCCGAGCTTCATCGCCACTTTGTCGCAGACAGTCGATCGAATGAGCGGCCAGGTAGCTCCCGGTACACAACCGACGAGCTACAAGGGAGGACGATCGCACGATGAGTTCCGCGATACGGCCCACCCGAAAATGGTCACCGAGCTCTTGACGGCCTTCGCGCTCCCACTCGGCCACCCCGCCAAGGTGACCGGCATCACGAAACATGTCCGCGACGAAGTGCTGTGGGATAGTTGCAAGTCACCCTGGCGCAGGTCTCCCATGTGGACGCTTATCCGCGTGTCCATCCAGCTCGTCCTCCTGCGTTCTGGGCTGGACGCCCTGGAAGCCTCCGTCGTTTACAAGCATTTCATGGTTTACTTCATGGCTCACGCTCTTAGAAAGACCGCCCTGCTACTGAAGAACGACCTGAGCTGCCTCGAATGGTGCGACCTCGTTTACGTCATGAAAGCCAAAATCTCCCGTCGCCTACTGAAGATCGAGAAAATCCGCTATCGCTCGACCGAACAAAAAGTACAAAAGGAAATGATCTTCGCCGACAAGCTCCTCCGAGGTACCTGGGATGCCGTCCAAAAGTCCAGGGCTGACAAGTCCCGAGTGGATGTCGCGTCCCTCCGACACCTCGACTTCAAGAAGGACACCTTTGCGAGCCTCCCGCAGCTGGACGACTTCATCGACAGCATCTCGAACCGAGAGTCGCAGACAGTGAGCGCCGTCTTTAACCCAGTCTGTCCTCTCCCGGAGATAAACCAATTTACCCATTGGCACGAGCCCGTGTCTGATGGTGCCACCTTTCAGGCTGCCTGGCTGGACAATTTGCTCGGGTCGCGTCTTTCCGAATGGCTTGAACCGAAGCTGAGACGCGAGGCGCTGGATTACACTGAGACCTTCAAGGCCCTCTGGAGAGTCATGAGCGGGTACAAAACCATGGTTTCCTCCAGAGCCTCAGACAATCCTGAGGCAATGTCCATGATGATCCTGGGTGTGCTCGAGCTCTGGGCAGCCTGCGATAAACTTGCGTGTCACACGTGCCCGCTCTTGTCAGAGTACGATCCAGTCATTGACGCGGAATATCTCCAAGGCTTGCTTCTCTCCACCAAGCAGCAGATGGAAAGACTCGCGGCTGTCGAAAAGTACATCACCTCGCGCAAGGAGAGAGGAAAACTGAGCGGCATCCTGACGTCGTTTGGCAAGCCGCAGACGTTTGCTGTGAGATATTTCAAGAAATCCCCGACCCACAAAAGCCTGTGTGAGTGCATCGAAGCGGCGGCCAGAAGAGAGAGAGAGGACAGGGCGCGAGAGTTCCAGCGCACCAAGCAACAGTACAATACTCTCATCAACCAGTACAATTCAGCAGATTGCGATGTCGAATGCGACAAAGATGGCGATCAACAGCGTCCCCGCAACTGCAGGAGATGCAAGACAAGGAACAGAGCGAAAGGCTTGTCGATCTTGATTCACGAGTGGCCGTTGCCCGAGCTCGAGACTGAGAAGATGAATGTCGTCTTCGAGTTGGACGTCCCCGCCTGGTTCTCCGTCTGGCGCCAGGCTACCAGCTTTGTCCTCTTCGATATCTTTCAGAAAGCGTACGAGCATGAAAGCCGCCGCGAGGCGCACTCGAAATTTGCCCTCAGTGCCGACATCCATTTGCGTTCTTACTATCGCGACATCGGGGGTGCTTTCACTCCGCGCATCGGCCTGTTGTCCGGAATCAAGGCCCATTCAAAGTCTCATTATAAACCGAAGCCCATCTCCACCGTCAGCAGACCGGATGAGCTCTACTATACCAACGGTTTGCGCTACCAGTATTACGACGAGTCCAGAGAATGTTTCGTTGGCACGTTGTCGCGCACAAAGGGAATAGATGTGTTCACGAACGCCATCACCTATGCTCTTCCCAGGGAGTTAGCCTCAATGCAACAGTTTCTTTACCGACCCTGTACTTCCCCCGACGGCCCCTCGCCCAACTTGGTTATCGCCACGCAATCCGATTGCCCTGACCATCTGTCCCTCACAGAATACAAGGCACTGTGTACCATTCCCCACGGTCACAGGATCCAGTGGCAAAACATCCTGCTGCAAGTCACGGCCCCCAACGTCGACTTTAAGCGAGTCGAGACGACCTTGACCGTACTGCAGTGCATTTACCAGGCCGGACCGCGTCAGGGCGGCTTGTGGCACCGCGCGGCGCACGAGGTTCCGGCGATGGCGGAGTCGTTCGGCGAGCGGATGATGGAGGGCTTGCGGGCTGCGACGAACAGGATCCGAGACAATTGGCAGTGCGTCAACGCGCTGGCCACGTATATTGCCGTGGCACGGCGGATTCTGTCGCTGACGGACTCCGAACTCATCAGGCGAGACGTGCTCAAATATCTTTCGGAAGCCCGGAGTGTTGGGCTAGGCTGGATCAAGTCGCTCAAAACTCGTGCCGACGATACGACGGACGATGGAGAGAAGACACAACTCCGAGGGAGGATCGCGTACGCAGCGTTGGTGTGCGTTGACACGTGCAATGTCGAAGGTGATGTTCTTCGCATTATTCTAGAATCCAATGCCGATACTGCTGCCGTTGACTTCATCGAATGTTGCATCACAATCAACGAGTGTTATGCCCCCGGCTCCTCTTCTGGCCAGAGCGCCTTGTCATCGATCCTTTACTGGAGATGGCAGATTCTTTGCACTCGAGCGTGTCCAATCCTAGCCAACCTCATTGTGGATTATGGTAACGATGGCCTGAGCATCGCAGTGAAGCGCTCCTGGGTCTCGTACAACGCATCGCCAGGAGGCTGGAACAGATGCTCAATACCTGGGTGCTCCCATTCTGGAATGTCGTGGCTTACGACCAAGAGTATATCTCCGAGTGGCCGCAAACCTCTTGATGTCCACTATTGTGTCGTAACCGGCGAACTCCGCGTCAACGGTGTTCCATTGAACCGCCTCCCCGCCGAGTACGAGAGGAACCCAACGTACAAGAGGTTGTTTGGGAATTGCGTGCTGGAGGTGATGCCCGCCGACGTACCAGGGATGATTTTCTCTGGCAAGAAACTTTTCGCGGGGCACGAGGTTCATTTCGGTCGTGTAGAAGACGCCGCAAAGGGTCAAGAATTGCTGGTGAGAGCCGTACGCGACGGCAGGGACCGGGACTTGGTGCATCTCGAGCTTCTGCAAGGCTTGCCTGAAGCGTTCACGAGGGACTATGTTCACTGGTACGACGTCGGCTCTAACACGGTCGAGTTCTGCCCTCTGAGCAGTCCGTGGAGGTCTTCGGAGAATAACTGGAAGCTCAGCTATGCGGAGGACGATGTGTGGCAGCTTACTCAGGGAGAAGACAGGGTCTTGGTCGCGCCGAAGCTTCTCCATCCTGAAAGTCAGACTGCAAGCCGCCTTGCACGGGTATTTTCACCCCTTGTTAAGCCGGGCAGACTTCATTTGATTTACCGTCCATCGCTCTCGGTCCTAGATATCGAGATACCGACGCTGAAACTGGCATTCCACCTGCACAAGGGCCGGTCAGAGATCACGTCTCACCAGTTCCGCGGAATGACTGTCGATCGCGAGCAGGAAATCGGAACCCTTTTCGGTCTTGACAACAAGCTCGTCCTGAAAGCAAGTTCGGACGACACATACCGAAAAGTGATCATCCTCGAAGGGCCAGTGCGTTGCTTCCAGTCGGATCCCCACATGCGAGTCCACTTCAACACAGATGATGCTGTCCGAGTCCACGCCTACGACGTTGACACTCGACTTGGCAGACTCGTTGACAACGGAAGTCTCGAGAGTAAGCTTCTCATTTGTCACCTTCATGCCCTCACGTCGTTCTGCCTACCCGATCCCCTGACGCAACGAACCGGTACCGAGCTGGCCCTGGACATTCTCAATTCCGCGGCCGTGAAATCGTTCGCCGTCTTGACTCCGGAGAACACAGAAGCCCTTTCTCGGATCGCGAGACTTACGCCCTGGAGAACTTATTATCCCAAAGAAAAAACGGTGATGCAAACCGTGGGGTGGTCATCCAGTCTCGGATTCCTTTCGCAGCACCACTCGTTCCTAGAAGCCGTGACCTCCCTCTTCAGCGCGGCGGCGGACAGAGCCTTCTTTTACGAAGACCAGTACCAGGAGCCCCCCGAATTCGAACGGCATAACCGTGATCTTATTCTCCGTGACTCCATCCGAGCCTCTACATTCAGAGTTGCCGAATACGGTGCCGAGGCGCATACCACGGAGCATGACCGCGTCTACTATTCCAGGGATGTAGGCCAGACCTCCGACGAGATTAAACGGGCGTTTACCATGGCCGACTACATCTACCACCGTCGAACGGAGCTCCCGTATGACCTACCTCTCGACGTCGTCAGCAGCGTTTGGAACTTTTTGTCGAGAGCTAGTAAGGTATATGGTCTCGGATACCGTCTGGACCTCGAGACAGGTGGTGATAAACCCGAGTACGATGCAAGCTGGCTACTGGAGGGCACCGATCCAAAAATCGTTAGTCGTAGTTTCATTCTCTACCATGAAGCAATCAGCCTCGGCGCGTCGTCAGACATTGGCCGCTTCGACTTAATGATGTGGCTCTCGACCATGGCATTCTCGCGAGAGGCCAACATGACCGTCATCCAAGTCCTGGCCGCAATGGCCAACGTCTCGAAAATGGCCTCCGTGAATCCGCCCACGGCTGATCAATTCCAACCATCGTGCGGAACCCGCTTTGGCCGGGACGCACTCTTGTCAAGACTCCGGGCCGATGAATTTTATCACTACTGGTCCGACTGCCCGGAGTACATCCAGTCGAGGAACTTGACTCAGATCCAGCGAAATGAGGCTCGCGAGCGGTATGCCGCCACCCGCAGCAGGGCTATGAAGAATCTGGTCGAACGCGCCGAGGAGCAATGGCCTTGCAAAGCGCCGGATCTTGCCTTCCATCGGAGCAGCGGGGAGTGGGCAACGTATGTGAAGTCGTCCGTGGCCGTTCCAGTCATACAGGAGCATACGAAGATCCGATACAACAATATTTTGTTGTGGGATTATCTCGTGGAATTGGTTGATCAGCTACCTTCGGTTTCCCCTCCGAAAGAAAACCCGCTATCTGACGCCAAGGGCTCGGTGTTGGCATCGGAGATTCTCCCCATTCAGGGCCACAGGCAGCGGTACGTCAGTAAGGCTGATGTCTTTCTCTGTCCGCCACCCGACCTGGAGAAGCTTGTCACTCCAAAGATTGATCTCGTTTGTCCACCTCCGCCTCCCCCGGCCTTGATTCTGTCATCGAAAGCTGGGCAGCAGTCTGATTTGCTTCGAGATATGATCGAGAAGCTCGGCCTTATGGCCAGCGCCGCCTTCGAGAAGGACTACATCCGGAGTCTCCGCCAGAGTGCCGAGTCCCTTGCACTGGGAGCACACGGCAACTTGGTCCTCCAGCAGAGAGCGCCGGAGCTGCTGAACATTTACCATACGCATTTTAAGCACCGGGCCGAGGGGATTTACTCGGCCATTGTCGGCGCGCTCTACAAACACATGGCAACCTTCTTGCCCTTCACTTCTTCTTCTCCTTCCGGCGAAGTCCGTGTTGGCGACGCCGATGGATGCTTCGCCACACACTGGCCAAGACTTTCGCCGTCGTTCCTGCTCCAGTGCATCGGAAGAAATAAATGGAAGCGACTCCCACCCGGCTGGAAAGAATGCATCGTCAAGTACGCTGTCTCTCTTGCCGACGTGCAACGTGCCGAACGCATGCTCGCGGCAGATCATCGAGGCGACCTAGGCGCCATGTCCAGGGAGCTCCAGAATGTCGGCCACAAGAACTGGAACCCGCTGGATTACCCGGACTCTCTCCTCTTGGAGGTGGAGAGCTCCATCACGATCCGAGACGTTCAGGAGGAGATTGCCGCGCAGATGAGGACGCCCCCAGAGTCTGAGAATGCTGTGATGCAGTTGAACATGGGCGAGGGCAAGTCTTCGGTCATCGTGCCCATCGTGGCAGCTGCTCTTGCCGACGGGGAGAAACTCGTGCGGGTTCTCGTTGCCAAGCCCCAGTCGAAACAGATGCTGCAAATGCTGACGTCGAAGATGGGAGGCCTGCTCGACCGCGTCGTGTTCCAAATGCCGTTTTCTCGCGCGCTCAAGGTGGGAAGGGCGGAGGCGCAGGCGATCCAGCGCATGCTGGAGCAGTGCCGAGATATGGGAGGTGTGTTGCTCGTGCAGCCGGAACATATCTTGTCCTTCCAGCAGATGGGGACGGAGTATCCCATGATTCCGGAGAACTTGGCGGTCGGGCGGATGTTGAATGAGACGCGGCACTTTCTGTTTAACAATGCGCGAGACATTGTTGATGAGAGCGATGAGAATTTTAGCGTCAAGTTCGAACTGGTCTACACTATTGGCAATCAACAACCCGTTGACCACAGCCCGTACAGATGGCAGATCATCCAGGAGGTGCTCGACATTATCCGCGATATTGCACCAAAGGTTCAAGAGCAGTTCCCAGACTCGATTGAGATTCACGACGCGTCTGCGCACCCGGGAAGTTTCCCGAGGACCAGGATCCTAAAGAGGGAAGCGACGCAAAAATTGGTCGACAAGCTCGCCGATCGCATCTGCGACAATGGCCTGACGGGATTCCCCATCTCCAGGCAACCACCGGCAGTTCGCGAGGCGGTACGGACCTACATCACCAAGCCCGAGCTCACCGAGGACGAAATCAACCTAGTCCAGCGAGAAGGACCATCGGGGTTCTGGACGGATGCCATCAGGCCAACCTTGGTCCTTCTTCGCGGACTGATGGCTTGCCACGTGCTGAAATTCGCCCTGACACAGAAGAGGTGGAGGGTCAATTACGGCCTCGCCCCAAACAGAAAGCCGCCAACGCGCCTCGCAGTGCCCTACCTCGCCAAGGACCAGCCCAGCGCCCGCTCAGAGTTTAGCCATCCGGACGTCATTATCATTCTCTCCTGTTTGACGTACTACTACTCTGGGCTGTCCGATGACGATTTATTCCTGGCGTTTGAGACTCTGTTGAAGTCAGACCAGGCGGAGGTGGAGTACGACTTGTGGGTGCGGGACAATACGAAAATGCCGGACAAGTTCAAGACCCTCGGGGGCATCAACATCGAGGACAAGCACCAGTGCATACACGACGTGTTTCCCCAACTCCGGTTCTCAAAGGGCGTCGTCGATTATTTCCTGAGCCACATTGTCTATCCTAAGGAGATGAAGGAATTTCCTTCCAAGCTGTCCGCATCTGGATGGGATCTCGGCGAGAAGAAGGTGCACCCGACGACTGGGTTCAGCGGCACCAACGACTCGCGAAGGCTTTTGCCCCTGGGTATGGAGCAGCTCGATTTGGAGCAGCAGAAGCACACTAATGCGCTGGTCATGAGTTACTTGCTCCAGCCCGAGACGGCTGTGACGGATATTCCTCCTAGGTCGTCGAAGCTGTCCAGCGACGCGGATGTCCTCTTGGATCTCGTTGTCGGACTTAATCCTTCCGTCCGGGTCATCCTGGACGTCGGAGCCCAAGTTTTGGAACTGAGTAACTTGGAGGTAGCAGAGCAATGGCTGCAGAGGCTTGAGGACGACCATACGCAGGCCGTTGTATTCTTCGACAACAACGACGAGTTGAGCGTCCTGGATCGCAGTGGGTATATCGAGAGGTTACAGACTTCGCCGTTTGCGTCCCAGTTGGACGTGTGTCTTGTGTTCCTTGACGAGGCGCACACGCGTGGGACGGACTTGAAGTTACCTACGAATTACCGGGCGGCCGTTACGTTGGGAGCAAACCAAACGAAGGATGGGTTGATGCAAGGCAAGTGCTGCCGCTTCCGCGATGGATTTCACGTTGATGTGTAACTAACGTTTTCGCCTCCTAGGATGTATGAGGATGAGGAAATTGGGCCACGGACAATCGGTAGTATTCTGCGTCCCCCGAGAGATTCGCACCAAAATTAATGAGCTGTTCCCCGACCGAAGCCACGGCAGCGATATCACGGTATCTGACATTCTGCTTTGGTCGATTCGAGAGACTTGGAGTAGTCTCCAACGCGGAGTTCAATTATGGGCCAAGCAAGGATGGCGCCACCGGAAACACCAACTCCTCTGGGCAAAATTCACCCAAGGAAAGCACGCCTTGGAGCCCGACCAGGCAAAGGAGTTCCTCGAGGATGAAGCGCAGACGATCCTGCAACGATACGGCCCGGGCGCCGAGCAAGACGAGTCGGGCAACCCAGGATCCACCCTTAACGGCGAGTCTGACTCAATCGTGGACAGGCTTCGGGACTTTGGGGCGGGAAAGCTCGACGGGGCAGCGCTTAGCGAGGAGCAGGAGAGAGAACTCCAGCCTGAGAGCGAAAAGGAACGCGAGCAGGAACGTCCGCCGGCGACGGTACCGGCAGCACACAAGATGCACCCGGACGTCGTCCGTTTCGTGGAGAATGGAACCATTACGACTTCTCAGGGTTACAAACCGGCTTTTTCGTCCCTGCGGCTGACGAACGCTGGGAAAGGATTTCCGCTTTCCAGCTTTGAAAGGAAGGATGCTGAATTTAGTCTGCTGGTCTCTGAGGATTTCACTCAGACGGTCAAGATTCCGGTCGGCAGCGGCGCGGCTCTTGATTCATTCTTGAGATCTGTGCAGTGGGTTCTTGTCAGCCAACAGCATGAGGGGAAGACGGTGATGATGATCATCAGCCCGTTCGAGGCCAACTCGCTATTTCCAACGGTTTCCGTCTCTCATACCACGAGCCTGCACATCTACAGTCCCCGGGTCAACCCGGCGTTCCCCTCCCTCGACGACCTCCAGCTCTTCATCTCCCCGCCGCATCTCAACCACAAAATGGCGTTTCCCCTACCCCTGACTGTCAGCCTAAACCTCTTCTCGGGACAGCTTTATTTTAGCGATTTCGAAATGTACATCGCCGCCTGCAGGTTCCTCGGGCTCTCATGGGAAAAAGCCAAGGACGGCGAGGTCGTGGACTCGGACGGGTTCATCCTGCGGGATGTCGAGGGACGCGTTGGAGGGGAATCTGGGTTTTCGAGGAGTCCGGTTAGGTTTATGCGGGATTTGATGACGATTAGACGGGATTGCCAGGCGATTGAGAGGACGCATGTTGGGGATATGTTGGACAATCGGCCGTTGTCTAAGGGTAGTTTCGAGTGAAATGTTGGGGGTGGTAGGAACATGGAGTTTCTTCGTGGGAGTTACGGTGTCTATGTATTATGACGGAGTGAGTATTGAGTGTTATTAGTTACAATGGATTCAGATTCATAAAACCTTTTCCGCAACTGTCGGGTTATTGAGGACGACGCGTGATGTGATGTTGCTTGCTCTGCTCGCCGGCATGGATACGATCAGCTTTACTGTTGGAATCTGCCCTCCGCTCTACTCAGAGTCTCAGGCACTATGAATTGAAACTGAAAGAACATTAACGACAGCCACGCCCGTGCCTCGAGTCGAAAGTGGCTGAAAGCCATCGTCGCCGTTAACTCGAATAAAGCAGAGGGCGGCAACTCCAGAATCAAAAGCGGTTACTGGTTGAGGAGCGGGTGTTGTTGCTGTGCCTTAAAATAACACGAGAGGCCATTGTGTATACGGAGTGATGATTGGCACCGCCAGCCGTTTATTATATTATGCAGCGGGGATTATTATGACGAATATACAAATATGGGGAGATATAAACAGTCTGTGATGTTCTGGGACCTCGACTTCCGTCTTTCTGTCAATCTAATGAAGAGCTATTAACGTATTCATCTTTCAAGAATCGTTACTCGTTACTCGTTACTCGTCCTTTGACTTGTTTCGTATCTGTCGTTTATAATCTTCACACATCTCATACTATGGCAATATTAGCAGCCATCCTGACCACCGATCTGAGTGAGTGGTACTTACAGCTTCTTGCACCGCCTTTCTAGCCTCGGGCCACGCCTTCCGGCCGCACCCCGGAATCCCCTGCGGATTCGTCTCAAAGAGGCGCCATGAATAGCTATTCAACGGCCCCTTGGCCAGCCACGTCCAAAGCTCGCGATCCTGCGACCGCAGCCGCCATCCCCGACCGCTCAAAATGTGGTCAATATGTTCGTACATGCCGGTTCCGGCAGCGTCGTGAAGAAATCGGTAGAACGAGTGACCTCGGACGAAACCTTGCAGGATGGATCGATCCGCATTCCATTCTTTGCGCCACCACGCGTGATATCGGTCGACCTCGGCGTTCATCTCCGTTTCGGACGGTAACAACGCGGGTTTGCGGTATTTGCCTTGAGGCGCTTGAGACGCCGAAATCTTGGCTGTTTCGGCCGCCCATATCTGGCTCAGGGCCATCGAAGCAAGTTCGAGAATGGCCCAGCGGCTTTCTTGGGCGGACATCCAGCTTAGAATAGCGATCGATGAAGCCCAGCGCGGTGGGAACATCATCTGATATAGACGGGGAAGGTGAGGTTCTTGCTTGGAACTGTTGCTGCTTTTGCTGCCTGCTCCGTTTTGGCCTGTTGTTTGCGCTTGGGCAATCTGCTCGGCAGTTTGGAGTGGCACCCCACACGCACCATCCATCTCCAGCTCGGGCATGATGCTAAGGTCAAGTTTGTATCCCGTGCAAAAGACCACGGCATCAACCTCTATTACGGTGCCGTCCGTTAAAAGAACCTCCTTCTCGCCGGCAAAGTCCTGAAACGCCTTCACGGGCAGGATATCACCCCTACGTACCGCAGGAATGTAGTCCTCCTGGACAACGGGGTGAATATGCGCCATGCTCGTACACGGCAACATGTGCCAGTCCTCCCGCATCCTCTTCTCCGTGCGCTTCAACCGTTGGGAATACGAAACACCTGCTTCTACGGGCTCGGACCGCGCAGCGGCGCGAATCATAGTGTTGATGAGAAACTTGTCCGTGAGGGGTTTCATGAGCCAGGGTGCCGCGTAGTCCAGGAGATACTTTAGGCGCAGGTCGGGCCAGGTGAAATTTAGATCCATGGGGACTCCGTCGTTGTCGTAGCGGGAGAGGAGGAGGCGGCCGCGTCCGTAGGATTGGTAGATTTTGGCGGCGTGGCCGAGGAGGTTGAGGGATACTTCGCAGGCTGTGTTGCCGAAGCCTACGACGAGGACCTTCTTGCCTTTGAAACGCGTAGGACTTGGGAACATCCCAGGCGTTAGCAAGGGGGGAAAAAGAAACGAAATGAAATGGAAATGGAAAAAGCAAAATGCAAATACGGTTATCACATAGGGAGACACATCTACTTACTCTCTGTAAGCTTGACCATGAATGACAAGACCTTTAAACCTGTCTCGATTCGGCATCGACGGCCATTTTGGTATTGTCTCGCCGCCATGGCCGAAAACAACTTTGTCAAACGAGAGGATGCTGTCCCCATCCGCGTTGGTTATGTACACGTCCCACGCGGTGTCGGGAGCATTCCGGACGACTTTCTTAACCGTGGTACTAAATCGAATATGGTCATAAAGGTTAAAATGCGTGGCGTATGATTTGAAGTAGTCGACTGCGTCACCTTGCACCGGATGCGTCGGGCAAGCTATAGTATCCAAGTCAACATAATATTACCAAAAGATTGAGCCGCTTGCAATAAACTCCATAGTTGATTGCTCGGGCAAATAAAGGAATAAAGTTGGGTTAAACTAACCTGGTGGAACCGGAAAGTCGCTAAAGCAGGACTATAGATTTCGCAAGGCTGGTTATATTTCAAGTTCTTAACTACCACGTTGAGGGATTTTCATCTGCACCGTCGATCAACTTACGAGAAACTTGCTAATATTACAGAGCGTGTCACTCAACGCCGTGGTGAATGCCGTGTTGTTGCTGTACGACCACAGCCCGCCAACTTCGCCCCGTCTCTCAAAGGCCACAGCGTCAAAGCCCTCGTCCCGCAGATTCTTCAACGCCGTGAGTCCTGCGGGGCCTTGTGTTCCCCGATGATCGTTAGCTCAAGAACCCCTTTTTTACGACGACTGCCAGTGCTTCATGCAGCAAAAGTGGGAGTTCCTACCCAGGCCAATGACCGCGATCTTCACCTGATCCATGCTCCGCTGCCGTTATTCGAAGTACTTCGTCTGGATAAAGGCAAACATTCTAGGGTAAATTGAAGGATCTGAGTCCGCATGTGTGGTTGCACAAATTCTTCACGGGATGCAAGGGAGAGAGGGGGAATCACAATCACTCTGCTCGATGTGATGATGAGCAGGGGTTCATCTGGTGGCTGGGAATCACCACGGCGACAACACGTGACCGCCACCTTCGATGCAACAGTCCCGGTCCGTGATTCGATCATCCAATCCTGTTTCCTTGCTTCGCGGAAGTTCTCAATGAGAGAGCTCGAGGTTCGCCAGATAGGCCGGTAGTCTCGCGCAACAGGGAATGTATAAATGGGAGAGAGAGAGTCTCAATGCTAAGAATACAGTAGGCATGTGGTCCATCGAAACTAACTTTGGACTTGGCTGGCCTCCCTAGTGACGCCTTCCTATTTTACGATCGTTCACGAAGCACACCCAGGCCCTCACCACCACTGCCCTCCTCGGGGTAGGCGTTTTGCCGTCCCCTAGGTCATGGTATTCATATATTAACACCTCCAGGGAGCGACTCATGCGCTAATTCGTGAAGTCCCGGCCCCACCCGGCCCCGACGATGGCGTCACCACGGGCAACTTCGCGTTCTGGGTTGACCGAGCCGGTGATGCTGCTATTATTCGAAACATGAGATGGTCTGACGACATTATCCTCCAAAAGGTCGTCATCAATCTTGGGAGATCCGACCTCCTCCCGCACGTTGTTCGATACAATGACGCCAACGGCTCCATCTACTCCAATCTGAAGGAAAAAGACCCCGATCGCAGAATCTCAAAGGACTATCGCAACGCGTTATAACTGGGGGGGGGGGGCACTCAATGGAACACCTTGGGGGTTGAGTTACTTTGAACCTGAGGTGTGTGGTGAGCTTGACTACTACGAAGTGGGCCCTGATAGGGAGTCTGAAGTGATACACAATCGCTGGGTTCGAGGGGTTCTTGTAGGCGATATTTTTTTTGATTGCGTCGAAATTACACTTGGATCTCTGCGCCGACCATTTGATGGATACTTGCAGAAAGTCCCAGGAAAGAGAATGTTGGAGTGATTTGGAGTGAATTCGTCTATCAATTTTCTGTTCCACCTTTAGAACTCTGCTTCTAGCCTTCGCAGCTACGATTCAGTGTCTTAAGCATGCCCTACCACCTCCCGCCCTCACTCGCCTGCTTCAATAAGGATTCTGCTGTCTTGGCACCGCCTACGACTCCTTTCCCGGCCTGTCACCCTGAACTCGACGAGCCGAGTAGGGTCCTCTCGCGCCTGGTACTCACGCCACGACGCCTTGGATCCACATTCACCTTGTTGATTTCGCTTGTGCTGTCAGTTCCGTCAGGACTAAGCTGGGTGATCCACGGGTGACTCAGGCACTGCTCGATCGTGAACCGGCCTATAGGGTCTCCGATGAGCATTTTGTCTATTAGATCAACTGAGACATACCGTTAGCTAACGTTGCTGATATTTACACATGAAGAGAGACATCGCGAGAATGTATAACTTACGGACTGGGTCGCCGATAGGGTCCCAATGGGGGGATGGATAGTTGAAAGTGCCGGTTCTAATCTGCTCCCTCAGGCTGAGGGGGTACTCCTCCGACTGGAATTCTTCAGAGAATGGTGGAAAGCCGCAGATGCAGGTATATAAAAGCACACCTAGAGACCATACGTCCGCGGCCGAGGTAGGGTTGGCATGTTCCATATCCGGCTGGATCTCCAGGGCCACGCGGACAGGAGTTGCAGAAAAATAATATTTATTATAAATAAATAAAATAATTAAATAATATTTATAAAATATAAATAAAAAGTATATATTTAAATATAAAAATATAATAATATTTAAATTAACTACTAAAAAGTTTTAAAAAATAAATTAAATATATAATAAAACTTATAGTTTATTATAAAATAATTATAAAAAATAATAATTAGCTTAATAGACTAAAAGATCTACTAATTCTAATACTATATACTAAAGCTACTCCTTATATCTACTTAAGAACCTTCTTAACTATAGTAAAATCTAGCTATTTCTAAGTATATTAATATAATTCTTTCCTCTCTAAGTAGGCTTGTCCTGAGCCTCAAATAGAGATAGCTAAGATATAATAATAGATGCAAACCCCTAAGGGTATACTTTATAAGCCTAATGAAGAATTAATATAGTTACACACCCAGGGGCACTATACTTGTCTATATACTATAATAGTTATATCATATAGGCTATAAGAAAAAACCTCTACTATACTAGGTTTTAAACTTATAATTATATATATATAATCTAAATTACTTAATCTAATAGACCTATATAGTACTAAAATAATTATAAAATAATTATAAAAAATAATAATTAGCTTAATAAATTAAAAGATTTACTAGTTTTAGTATTATATACTAGAATTATTTTTTATATATATTTAAAAATCTTCTTAACTATAGTAAAATCTAGCTACTTTTAGGTATTTTATTATATTTAATATAGATATTTTCTTTTTAAGTTTTTTAAAGTAATTAAAAAATTTTTTTAATTAATTAAAATTAATTATTTAATAATTATTATAATTATAAAAGTAATTACTATTAATTATTATTTATATTTTTAATTACTTTTCTATTATCTATTAGCGAGTTATATATAACTATTTTATTATTATTTTCTATTATTTTTTACTACTTTTTAAGTTATATAAAAATTAGCTTATAATATAATACTTTTCTTTCTTTAGTTTTTATTTTTAAAAACTTATAAATAAACTATCTACTTATTAGTTTTATCTTTTATAAGTTTCTTTTTCTTAATATTATATTATTTTTTTTTAATTATATTAAATAGTAATAAAAATTCATTTATTTTTTATTTTTATATCTCATAATCTATTAATATTACTAATAAAATTAGTTTTATTATAATATTTTACTCTTTTTATATTTAATAGTCGTTTACTTATAAAATAATAGAAAGTACTTTTTATTATAGTAAATATATTTATTTAAAGTATTTATATAATATTATAAGTATTTTTATAGATATAAGTAAGTTTTTTAATAATTTTATATATATTTCTTTTTTTTATTTTTAACTTTTATAATATTATACTTTATTTAAAAAAGTATTACTTAGAATAAAAAGAAGAAGAAGCTAAATAAGCTCTAATTAACTATTAGTAGAGGGCTTCTAAAGTTTTTATCTTGTAATAGAATACCTAGAAGTGGCTGGTCGCGCCATGATTGAGGGGGTTCTTAAGTAGATATAAGGGAGCAGTTCTAACATGTAGTGTTGGAACTGGTGGATCTTTTAGTCTATTGTGCTAATTGTCACTCCCTTGCAATTATCTTACATATCTATTTATTTTATATTTAAAAATAAAAGAAAATATTATTTTAAAAAAGAATAGAAATAATAAAGAGGAGTCTATAAGCTCTAAATAAGCTAGGAGAGGTAAAGTATTAGTAGTCTAAGGTTGTTATTACTATTTAGGTTATTTACATTATAGATATAATTAATTAGAATTTATTAGCTTTAGATCTACTATTAATAAATCTTAGAGCTTTTTTAAATATTTCTAGTAGAATATAGTAAGAAGTAATTAGCTCTTTATTAAATATTTAATAAACTTTTAAGTATTTATATTATATTTATAATTCTTTTATATAACTAAATATTTACTCTTTTTATTATTATTATTTATTAACTTTAAATTTTTTTAACTTTATAAATATTTTCTTTTTTTATAATTTTAATAGATTTTTTATAAGAATATTATTATATATTAGTTTAAATGATACTATATAAAAAACTAAGTAAATCTTTATTATTTTAGATTATTTAAACTTATAATTAACTTTTAAAATCTTTTATTTAATAATAATAAGCTTTAATTTTTTATAATTTAATTTATTACTTATTTATTTAGTTTAATTTAGAGGTTCTTAATTCTTAATTTTTTTAAAGTAATTAGATCTTACTCTCCCTCTTAAAAGTTAATTCTAGAATTTCTTTATAATTTATATATTATTATTTTTTTACTAGATAAATTCTAATTCTTTAATAAATTATATATATAATTTTCTTATTTTACTTATTATAAAGATAACTTATTTTACTTAAGTTCTAATCTTTATTAGTTTAAATTTTATTTATAGTTTTATTTTATAATTTATATAAAATAGAAAGATTTTAGTATTTTCTAATATATTAATATTATAAGCTCTTTAGATAGAAAATAATAATAATATTTAATTATTTTATTTTAAATTAATATAATATTATAAATATATTTCTAATATTTAGTTTATTTATTTAATTTATTTTTATATTTTTAAATAATATATTATAAAAAGCTTATAATTGATTTTTATTTTATTTAATAAGTTTTATTAAAAATATAAAGTAAATATATTTTCTCTATTTAAGTTAATCTTTTTAAATAAATTATAGTTTACTATTATTATTTATAAAAATAATTTAATAAATTATAATATTTTTATAAATTTATTATAAAATATAAAATACGTATATTTAATAAATATATCTATTATTATTATAATATAATTATATATAACTTTTATAATAAAGTTTTGTAATAATAATAAGCTAATAATAAAATTAATATTTAATTTTTATTATAATACTTTTAATATTAATATTAATTATAATTTTTTATATTACTTATATAAAGAGTTTTATTTTTTTTATATTATAGATATTATTTTATTATTTCTTTAATATTTTTTCTAAAATTTAAGATATAGTAATTTTATTAAATCTTCTATTTAGTTTTAGTAATATTAAAATATTAATTAAATATTAACTTATAAATTCCCTTAATAAATTTATAGTATATTTTTTTAAAATAAAAACTTTATCTTTTTATATTTAAAATTTTCTATTTTATTATAAACTATAATATTATATTTACTTATTAAATTCTTTATACTTATAAATTTATAAAAGTTTATTAGTTTAGTTAATATCTTTTATAATTTAATAATTAACTATTATTTATTATAGTATAATAAGGAAAAAAATAATAGTAGAGAAAATAATAATATTTTTATAAAGAAAAAATAAGTTTTTTAATAAGTTTTTATTATTTTAATTTAAGTTTATTTTTAATAGATATATTATTTTATTTTATATTATTATATAAAAATATTAGATTATCTAGTTTAAGTAGCTCTATCCTCTTTTTAAAGGTATTAGTTTTATTTATTTTTTAAACTAGCTTTTTTTAATATTTTATAACTTTTTACTTAACTAGCTTTATATTAGTTTCTTTTTATTTAAAGATTTTAATTTATAATAGGATAAGCTAAATATAGTTTATAATCTTTTCTTAGTTAATTAATTTCTATATAAGAATTTAGATTTCTATTAATAATACTAATTTATATTTAAAGATTAAATAAAATAAGCTATATTTTATTAATACTTTAGTAGTAATCTTATTAGCTAGTAAAGTAAAGTTAAAAAGCTTTACTTATCTTCTTTTTCTTTCCCCTAACTTTATAAAAATATTAGTATAGATATAATAACTAGTTTTAACTATTCTATTTACTTAAAAATTTTATATTATAATTTATACTTAATAGATTTTATATTTTTTTTAATAGCTTTACTAATTCTATTTTTCTAAGCTACTATTAATAATAATATTTAATAATAATTTAAAAAAATTAATAAATATTTTTAAAAACTATTTAATAATATTTTTTAGTATAGTATTTGTAAAACTAGTAATTACTATATATCCTATTAAATTATATTTAACTTCTATTAGAAAGTAATATTTATAATTAGAAAATATATACTAGATATTAATATAATATAAATCTTTTAAAATAAATAGTTTAGAGAAATTAATATTACTTAATTTTAAAATCTTTTAATATTAAAGTTCTAATATTTTAAATAGCTTTTATACTTTTTTATTATTTAATTTTAAAAGCTTTTTTAATAATAAAATTTATTAATTAATTAATTTATATTATCTTTCTTTTTATAACTTAGTTTTTAATATAACTTTTATTAAATAGCTTTTTTCTTTTTTTATTATTAATTACTTTTTTTTTATAATTATTATTATTTTTTAATTATAAGATACCTAATTTAATTTAAAATTTAAAAACTCTTTTTTTAAAAATATAAAATTATTTAATAATTATATTATTTAACTTTTTAAAGAAAAGTAAAACTTAAGTAATTTATTAATATTTATCTAAATAGCTTTTATTAAGAAATTATAAGATTTCTATATATAAGATCTATTAATTAATAAATTTATCTAAATTTTACTTATTTTTTTTATATATTAAATAAGTTAAGTTTTTTTTAAAAAAAATATTTTCTATTATATTATCTTTTTCTTAGATATAGTAGACTCTAAAATTAAATAGTTAAATATATATAATCTATTAAGTAATTAAAATATTTAAAAATTTAAAAGATTACTTATTAAATTAATAAGTAAAAACTTAATAATTAATTCTAAAAATAAAATAGATTTCTATTAAGTAAGTCTAAAGCTTATAGAAAGTAGCTAATACTTTTTAATACTTTTATTTAATCTAATTATAATTTTATTTTATTAGTATTTGTCAGGGTTCGGCTAAGCAGCACTACTTAACAGAGACTTATTATATAGAAAGGTTTCGATAAGGAGAAGAAAAGAAGAAGAAAACGGAGTGTGGTCGGAACCCGGT